TTAGGCTAACAATAACAATAATCCTACATTTATAAATTCAGTCATGGTAGTGATTGATGTTATTGTGCAGATTATATTCCATATTCAAACATAGAATTAAATATGTAGAGGCACTCCGGTAGGGGCCACCTCTCAGGTTTCTTGGGTTTTTGATCATTCATTCTTCCTCCACTAGATGTCAATACTGCTCTGTCTCATGTTTCAGATCTAATCATTAATCTGTGGACAGCAAAGCTTGACAAGCCATTTATTCATTTAATTTAAATAAGGTGTCAGAGCAGCTAAAACAAAAACGACAGACCAATACAGAAAACGCATCCCATGGAGTGAGATCATTTAAACTGTTTTTAAAAATGTAATTTAACAGGTGACAATTTATTGAAACAATGCCTACAAAGACAGCTTACTCTAATATAACAAGAGATCCAAGGAAAAATCTATAAAGACGTTGATTTGCATATGAAATCAAACTATCTTCACACCAATAGCAGTTTGTTTTAAGGAGTACAGTAAATGTTGGCGACAGCTGTTGAAGCTTTCCCGCACCGGTAGATGGCGGTGTCCAGCTTTATTTAAACCCTCATTTCACTCGTCTCATGTCTGCAGAAAGCGGAACAAATCAGATCTCCTGAGTACTGGTCGTACATTGATAGAAGTAGTAAATCTCCAGTAATGATGATATGAATCTAAAGTTTTGCGAGCTACATTTGTTCATCGGGACAAAATAGAAAAACGTTTAATAGGATATATTCGACTTTTTTCAAAATGACACATTTTTAAGGAAAAGTAACAAGAAGTCGGCGCTAATAACATGTTGGGCTGTGGGGAAATTCCCATATCACTCCGATGTTTTAATTCCGATCGTGAAGATGTGAAGAGTGTGTGTGTGTGTGTGTGTGTGTGTGTGTGTGTGTGTGTGTGTGTGTGTGTGTGTGTGTGTGTGTGTGTGTGTGTGTGCCGGATCAGCCAGTGCTATGCTCAGTTACTCTTCAGCTGTGTGGATGCGGGGGCTTGAACCTAAACTCACCTCGGCTCCCACAGTAATCTTGTTTTTAGAAACAAAATGCAGTGAGAGGTTCTATTAGAGGGGACATGTTGGAAGAATTAAAAGATGAAAATTGAATTTGATCACTTTCTTCTCCCGTGGAGCTGTCCACTGGAGAATGGTGCTGAATAAGTTTTGTTCTTATACAGTAACGCGGAGTACGTGTATGTTTTGGTTGTTTTTTGTTTTTTGTAGCAGTGTTGGTGCTGAGATCGAGTCTAATAACTACATTTTTCCTTGTTTTATTGATCCCATGTTAAGTCAGAAGTGTGCGCGGGGTTGCGAGAGTCTTATTTATAGACATACGTTTACACTCAAACAATCAAATTGCAGTAAAGAGTTATACAAAATTGTGGATGTTAAATGTAACTGACGCAACATCGGCTCTGTCTTGAACAGCTTCTGAGTGGACAGCAGTGCGCACTCGGGATTTTTGTATTTAATTAGCATAAAATATCTTCTGGAGAGCAGCAGGACCGTGCGTCACAGCCATCGGCGAAGATGGGAGGGGGGGAGGGGGACACCTATGGGAGTCAACAAACTGCAGTGTGTATTCCTTCCACGGCCGACAAAAACCAGTCCGGTTGATGTGAAATGATGACTTAGCTCACAGCGTTACAGGTGACTGAAGACAGCTGGGAGCGTCTGGGAGCCGGAGGGGCGCAACAATCGGAGCCTAAAACAAGCCAGTGCGCTGGTGGAGCCGGCACTGCGAGCTATAGGTGAATCTCCCAACCTGTGAGTGCAGTCCGGGACCAGCACGTCACCTGAATGACGGGATATGAGACAATGAAGCAACTAGGGACGACGGGGATAAAACGAGTCCAAGTCACGGAAGTGGAAAAGCGCGTGCGATGACGGACGGCGCAAGGGACAGAGAAGAGGTAAAGCAGAGGAAAGTTGTCTAGCTCATTAGTAGGGCTCCGGTGTTGGATAAGAAAACGAAATAAGTGACGGAACAGATGTGCCACGCGTGCGTAATTCTATAAACAACCCAACTGGGGGAAGCCGATTTTTTTTTTTTTTTTAAAAGACAAGACCTGAACCAGAAAGGGAGAAAATTATGGAGCCGGAGGGGAGCACAGAGGGAAAAGCCAGTAAATTGGCACAATCTGCCGCCTCCAAACTGTCCCAGATGGGCGAAAGAACTAAACAACTGGGCAATGTAATCCAAGAGCCAGAAAAACAGAAACGGATTATTCTAGTAATAGTCTGTGTAGCACTTTTATTAGACAACATGCTTTACATGGTAATTGTGCCAATTATACCCGATTACCTTGAAGAACTACAGAACGCAGCGGATAGTGCTGAAGCCGCTGCACCGCACACCAACTTCACTAACGGCACCATCCACAAAGCACCCAAGGGGAACTTCGACCTACAGATTGGTGTTCTTTTTGCCTCCAAGGCCATCCTGCAGCTCCTGGTGAACCCGATAAGTGGCACGTTTATAGACAGGGTCGGGTATGATATTCCACTCTTCATCGGTCTCAATGTCATGTTTCTCTCCACTCTTATTTTTGCCTTTGCCGAAAACTACGCGACCCTGTTCCTGGCGCGCAGCATGCAGGGCCTCGGCTCGGCTTTTGCGGACACTTCTGGGATCGCTATGATAGCAGACAAGTACTCAGAGGAGTCAGAAAGGAGCAAAGCGCTGGGTATTGCCTTGGCTTTCATCTCGTTTGGAAGTCTTGTTGCGCCCCCCTTTGGAGGGGTCCTCTATCAGTTCGCAGGGAAGAGGGTGCCCTTCCTGATTCTGGCCTGTATCTGTCTCATTGATGGCATATTGTGCTTGACTGTGCTGAAACCTTTCTCTAACCGTGAGAGAGAAAACATGCCAGTGGGCACCCCCATATATAAACTGATGATTGATCCTTATATAGCTGTAGTGGCAGGTGCTCTGATCATTTGTAACATCCCTCTTGCCTTCCTCGAGCCCACTATCGCCAATTGGATGGAGGATACCATGCATGCCACCCGGTGGCAGATCGGCATGACATGGTTTCCTGCCTTCTTCCCTCATGTCTTAGGTGTGTATCTCACTGTCAAATTAGCAGCCAAATACCCTCATCTCCAGTGGTTTTACGGGGCTATAGGTATGGTGTTCATAGGCGCGAGCTCATGCACAGTGCCAGCCTGTAAAACCTTTGAAGAGCTCATGTTCCCGCTGTGCGGAATCTGTTTTGGCATCGCCTTCGTGGACACTGCGCTCCTGCCAACACTCGGTTTCCTGGTGGATGTGCGACATGTGTCAGTGTATGGCAGTGTGTACGCCATCGCGGACATCTCTTACTGCGTGGCCTACGCCCTTGGGCCCGTGGCGGCTGGACAGATAGTACACAACCTGGGCTTTGTTCAGCTCAACTTAGGCATGGGCCTCGCCAATGTACTTTACGCACCGGCGCTCCTTCTGCTGAAGAACGTGACACAGATGAAGCCCTCTTTCTCCGAGCGAAATATGCTCCTGGAGGATGGCCCAACAGGACTGTATGATACGATTAAGATGGAGCAACGAGAGAAGAAGAGAAAGGGTTTGTGTACAACAATCGACGAGAACGGCATCGAAACCTTTGTGCAAAAGTCGTTTTCAGAGGAGGAATCCTCAGGAGGAGAGTATGCGTAACAGACCTTTAACTGAGTGTAAAACTATCAAAGTGCCAATGTAAAGTTGTGTGCATCCCGTCCGATCCAATCAATTGCATAACACGATTAGGATTGTGTAACAACATAAATTATTTACTGCTTCTGGTGACAATGCCTCCGGGTATTGTCAAATCAAGTAGCTTCAAGCTTTTGCAGTAGAAAGGCGCTCGCTGGCGTTTGTTCATCTTAAAGTGAGAGTATTGTGAATGATTTGTTGAGATAAATGTCTATTCATTAACAGTATTTATCAGAAACTGATTCATATCGTATTCAGGGATTATGTGTAAATGTATTTTAACAAAAAGAGCAACTGTAATGTAAATGCGTCTTTCAGTGTAATCTGTATTTTTTTTGACTGGGTTGTGCTTCTAAACTCAATATGCAATACTGTGTGTCATCTTTAGAAAGAAACAGAACAGAACAGACATGAACTGAAATCTGCATTATGCTGTCTGTTCATTTTGTTTATTTTGGATGGTGTACTTCTGGAATGCATAGCCTCACTGTATAATCTGCGACTGTACATACATGTATATTCATGTACATAATTAAATCAATATTATGTGACTGATACTGTTTATGGAAATTATTTATTTAGGAAATTAACTCATTAATTGTGGTATGTGGCAGTTTTATTTCCTCTGAAGGTGAAGGAATCCACACCAACAAAATGATCTTGATAATCTGATGTTATTATCAATTATGGTTTTAAACATAAAGCGTGCGTTTTTAATTTAATACACATTCCTGGATTTTTGCCTTATTTGAACACGCTATAATTGAACAATCAAATATTAAAGTTATTAAGCTTTACACTGATGTAGTTTGTGATCTTTCTTAGTAATACAATCAGCCGAAAGTGAATAATTTAGTCCATTCTAGAGTGAGTAACTTCTCCAAATGAAAAATAGTTTTGGAAAAAGTGGAACTATGATTTCATGTAGGATCCCTGAGGTTGATACTGTGTGTAAAATCAACAGTTTGCCAAAGCATCTGCGCTTGTCCAAAATGAAAATCGTTGTATATAATATTAAATGCACAACGCCAATTAAAGCACTCAGTTGCAGTGAGGTGGAAGCAATGTATGCGCCCAGACTGCTCGACGAAAAGTGGTAAAAATACACAAAGCCAAAGGAAGAAGTCGGTGCAAAACACATCCTAATTGTTCTTCGGAACCATGTGTGAGCATCTGAGGAGCTCACCCGGTGTCTAAATGAGGTGGGGTGAAGATGTGAAGTGCCAAATAAACTTCTCGGCGAATAGCAGGACTTCTGGGAGGAGCCTGGCTGCCAGGAGGGTGAGGTGCCCCCTCTCAGCATCTCTCCTGAGCCAGCGAGGGAGTTGCGCTCTCACCATGTTGGGGATTGAAAGATGCTTAAAATGATAAAGCAGCACAGGAGTGAAATTTAAAATAAATTCTGCCAGAAATGGATGGATGTGATGGATAAACCTAAACTTTGGACGAGTGGGACTGTTTGTTCTTTCTGGTGAGTAAAACATTTCATTTTTTATGTGACTGATTTCAATTTGGTAGATTTATTAGGGTTATTTATGACCGCATGAAATGGGCAGGTTTTGAAAATGAAGCTGCATGTGAACATCTTTTATTTGTTTTAGTTACGCCAGTAATACATTTTATTCATTTAGTAGCATTGTATATTTGTCTGTAACGTTTACAGACAACTGCTCTTATCAGGCTGTCACAGTGACAGACAGTTATTTTAAGGCGCGTTCACTTGTCGGAACTTGATGCTGATATCATTTTATTTGTGGACACAGAGTCTGTCTCAAAAGGGAATCAGCCTGACTGACTCTGCACCACCAACATGCCAGTCCTGGACCAAGAACCCTCCAAAGATTTAGGGGGCGGAGATGTAAATATATTTTATCTGACTTATACCAATATATGGAATATGTACGCAATGTATTTCACTAAAATGTGCATGAGAGAAATAATGTTTTTCAATCAGTTAGGAAAAACAAAAATCAAACGAAAGAACATTAATAAGACATAAAAGTGCCTTTTTAAAATCAAGTAGGAATTCATGTATGAGCGTTAATGAAGATGCTATAATATTTTATTAACAGTGGACTTCCAATATTAGATTGTAGTTGTTAAAAAGAACAACTAAAAACTTACTTGTTTATTAAAAGTATTTTCGGAATAAATTGATATAATACATGTGTCAGAGGAGACTAGCTGATGTGAAGACCACAAATTTAGAGAAAAACCTTGCTGTGTTTTTCATCCCCCAAACTGTTCAGGGGCTTCCTAAGCTGCCACTTCCCGCCCTGAAGGACACTCTGGAGGTGTACCTGAGGTGTGTGAAGCACCTGCTCACAGAGGAGCAGTTCAACAAGACCCAAAATATAGTGAAGCAGTTTGGAGCCCCTGGAGGGGTGGGGGAGCTACTGCAGAGCAAGCTCATGGAGAGAAGACAGAACAAGGCGAACTGGGTAAGAAAAATGATCCCGTCCCAAACACACAATCATGATGTTTGCAGATGTCTGTTCAAATCCCAAAACAAATAGTTTTCAACAGCCATTATGGACGAATAACTCACGTGTTCCATTATTTTAAAGTTAAAGACAAAATGTAGGTTTAGTAACATTTGTAAACAATGGTGTAAACAGGCCTATAATTTAGTTTACTGTAATTACTTGTTTCATTTATAAGACAAACCTTTTAGTTACGTACATACATTTTACACCAAATATATATATAAAAATACCACGATTGGAAAATATTTACAGACTTACAGATTCAGTCTGTGTAGACTTATCAATCAATTTTAAACTGATGGCTACATCCAACCTTTTGTTTTATTTTCTTGTGTTTGGTGCTCCTCCTTTACTCTCTATTAGATCACTGTTACTAATAGCCTGTGCCTTTAAGCAAATCCTTCAATTTCCGACTGTAGGTGTATGACTATTGGCTGAATGACATGTACCTGAACAACAGACTGGCTCTGCCCGTCAACTCCAGTCCTGTGATGGTCTTCCCACAGCAGAACTTCAAGGCTCCCATCGACTCTTTACGGTATGAGACACTGCACAACCGAGACCAAGGAGTCATGAGAGAAACCTCACAGTTTGATACAATGAGACAGGACCGGCAGATACATTGTCATACACTATTGGAAGTGATTTTTTTCCTGCATTGTCCCCCGTTAGTCTTCCTCTACAACAGACACTGTAGAGGAATTTCCATTCATTTTAAAAATCATTTCACTTGACAGGCAATTTTGGATAAATACAGCATCAAGATATGAGAAATTATATAACTCTTATTTAAAGACTGGCTTTGATTGATTACAGCAAATTGAACACTTCCCTGCTACAGATTGACAGATGGGGTCTTACCCAGAACACCTTGAGGGCTTAGAGGCCAGGCCTAGCTATTGTTGGAAAGGTTAAAAGACAGTGAAGGCTGCAGTTTGGTTAACATGGTATTGATCTGGGACCGGCCCCTTAACCAGGTGATTTACATATAGCATTTATTCTCTTAAGTGTAATAAAGAAACACAGGAACAAGGTCAAATGCAGAGAATTACTACCCCGATCACAGAGAGTGTGAGAAAGAGAGACCAAGAGCAATATGTGTGTGTTTTCTAGACACATTTTACAATGTAAAGTTTTCTTCCCTAGGTTTGCTGCACACTTAATTTCTGGAGTTTTGGAATACAAGACTCTTCTTGATGCGTAAGTTAACGTACAATGAGAGCCCAAACAAGCCTGAGAGATTCAATCACAACATATTTATCTCCAACTATGGTTCCTGTGTAAATAAAATGCCTGACAAAGCCACATGTGTCTGTCTGTAGACATGCCCTGCCTGTGGACTACGCCCGGGGCCAGCTTGCTGGAACCCCTCTGTGTATGGAGCAGTACTATCGCCTCTTCACTTCCTACCGCTTACCGGGGCCTGAGAGGGACACACTAGTGGCCCAGGAGAGTAGTGTGATGCCAGAACCTGAACACATCATTGTGGCTTGTAAAAACCAGGTCAGACACCATGAAAAACGAATCCAAAGTTGTCTTAGACTATATATTTTTTTCTGGAGCTTTCAACCACGTAACACATTCATCATCAGCAGACGGAGTTTAGATCAATTGACATGTGAGCTTAGTGCTTTCGAGGTTAAAATTCCTTCTTGACTTCGGAAGCATTAGTTTGACAGAACAATCCCAACTGAAGGTCCACTTACTAGGTTTTTTCTGAATATTTCAACCAAATGACATGGCGTCTTTATCAGGCGGAAGCATTCCTAAGAGTGAGAATTAAACTATACAGTACATTGTGTCCCTGTCACAGCAGCACATATGGAGCATCACTCTTATGGTTGTGTAAACAGGCTCTCTGGGCACTGTGCATCATTAGACAAGTGCTCTCTGTTAAGTTAATTATCTGTAACATGTGTGACATTTGCACACCAGCCAGCCACCTTCAGCTTTGCCACTGTGTTCTTCACAGAAAAGGTGCTCAAATAATTAAAACGCTTAAAGACACTTGCTTACTACCACTATTAAGTCCTTCAATAAGACCAGTATTGTCATTAGAGCTCCATAAGAAACTGATCTTACTAATGAGCCACTCTGTGAATAATTAACTCTTATAACTGTTACTGCAGCATATTTGTAAAGCATTGAAATGATATCTCTAAAGATGGCTTTAGAGATCAATGAATTCTTTTATTTCCAAATTGTCAATTTTTCCAAACATGTCTTTTTTCATTGAACTTAAGTTTATCTCTTAGTCTAAAATGTGTTAAATTATGTGTTTTTTTAACACATTATTTATAAAATAAATCCAAATTAATCTACTAAAATGAAAAAATTTGACACAGCTGCCATCCCTTGCCACCCCTCTAAGATCCACCTCTAGAAGATAATAACACCAGATTCCGATGTTTTAGTTAACTTTAGTATGGTTTAACTCTTAATATGGATCTTTCCATGTTAAAGACCCCATCCATCACAGACAGAAAACAAATTGTTTACCTCAGTATTCAATATTTATTTATCTAAAGGATAATTAATTTTGTTTCACAACTATTATTTTATTTTGGACATCATTAATATCATCCAAATAACACTGTTACCAAGTTAATTGAGATATTGGAACATGGCAACATCACTGTAGCTGCTGTAGTTACTTTAGTGAGTAATGTTACCACAACTGAGATAAATTATGGTTAAAACTACAAAAATTTAGACTAAAGTTGTATATAATTTGAATTATCCTTTAAGTCTCTGCTGCCCCTCACCACACACATCCTACCAGATATCCCCATGTGTCAATGGAAACAATGGGCTCCAGCCTAAAGTATAGATTCCCATCTAATATTACGTAAGACCTCAGAAACAAGTGCACTGAAACAGCTTGTGTCCAACCTGAACCCCTGTCCAGTTCTTTGTGCTGGATGTGGTGATCAACTTCCGCCGACTGAATGAAAGAGACCTGCTGACTCAGCTGGAGAAGATTGCCAGAATGGCTGACATCGAGGAAGAACAGCTCCCACCTATTGGTCTTCTCACTTCAGATGGGCGGACAGAGTGGGCCGAGGCTCGTAGTGCGCTAATGAGAGGTACATTTGAATAGAAGTTCAAGGCTTTGAAGTCAGGTATATCTCAGTGTTTTCAATTTCCCCCACCAAATTGACTTTCTTTCTTTTTTTTTTATGTAATATCTTCTAGAGTCTACTAACAGGGACTCTCTGGACATGATCGAGCGTTGTCTCTGTCTGGTCTGTCTTGATGATGCCACTGGGCCTGAGCTAAGTGACACCACACGTGCCATGCTGATGCTACATGGCGGAGGAGCAGCCAAGAATGGGGGAAACCGCTGGTATGACAAACCCATGCAGGTAAGTTAATTGGCTATTAAGGCTACTTTAACATGTGCCTCTTTAAGCATTAAAGGAATGTAGATGAAGTATGGATGCTATACAATAAGATCAATTAAACTCCCTGATTCTTGTGAAAAATGACATAACTCAACAAATGCATGCTCCTCTCTCACATTGCCAGTGGATGTAATTATCCAATCCCAGGCCAAATTAAGAATTTAAATTAAAAAAGATACTGATGAAGAGTGAACATTCCCATTGGATTACAAGCCTTTGATAAAGAATTCAGATTACTTTAATGAATCATCTGATTAATATTCACTACCTGGAGAGTTGGAGGCTGTAACATGTATATGAAGGAACATGTAGTTGCAGTACGTATGCTGATGAAACTGTAACAAGTGAATTGAATCTTAGATAATCTAGCATCGCAGTTTGGTCCAATCCTACTGAAAATAGCGTGACTGTGTCAGTTTGTCGTAGGAGCTGACGGCTGCTGCGGAGTCGTGTGCGAACACTCAGCGTTTGAAGGAATTGTCCTTGTGCAGTGCACAGAGTATCTACTCAAATACATGTAAGAAATGAAATACAGTTGGATTTTGGAAGTACAAAATGTGTGTGTGTGATAACATTTTTGGCATTTGTTTTCGAAAGACTATACTAAATAAAAAATACCAAATTATATTGTATGCCCATGTGACATCAGGATTGGCAGCCCATCAAAGCTGGTCAGGGCTGCAAGTGTGAGCGAGCTGCCTGCACCACGTAGACTCCGCTGGAAATGTACTCCAGAGATTCACAAACTCCTCGCCTCTTCTGCTGACAAACTACAGAGGTCTGGCTTTACTCTGGTTTCTGTACAATCAAACAAATTAATAAAAGCTTTCAGCTTACGGTGCAATTTATTCTTATCTGCTCAGGCTGGTGAAAAATCTGGACATGAATGTCCATAAATTCTACGACTATGGGAAAGAGTTCATCAAGAAACAAAAAATGAGTCCAGATGCCTACATCCAGGTTGCCCTGCAGTTAGCCTACTACCGGTAAGAGAAAGATAAATATAACAGGATTCACATATATTACATTAACTCCACGCTCCTAGCTACAAGGCTTTCTCTTTGTGTGTTACTCTAGATGTCATGGCAGACCGGTGTCGACCTATGAGAGTGCTTCCATAAGGCGTTTTAAGGAGGGTAGAGTGGACAACATCCGCTCAGCCACACCAGAAGCCCTGGCCTTTGTCAAAGCAATGACTAATGGGGAACAGAGCACATGCGTAAGACGTTTTAACCTGGATGCTACACACACCACACTGTCCAATCTGAATGAATGCTGCTGCAGAGTAAAAACTTTAATAATGTAATGAGTACATTTGTTTGTTTTCCAGGATAAAGAAAAGATGGAGATGTTACGAGGTGCTATCTCCGCGCAGACAAAGTATACTATTCTGGTAACTATCCTCTAACCTCCTCCAGTGTTGACTTTGCTTTTCAAAGAAAATGCAATAATGTATGTGTTCTCCTTTTCAGGCTATTACAGGGATGGCGATAGACAATCACTTACTGGGACTACGTGAAATTGCACATGACCTGAAGATAGAGAAGCCAGAAATATTCAAAGACGAAGCCCATCTCATCAGCAATCAGTTCATTCTCTCCACAAGTCAGGTACAGTCATCTGATTTTAAAACATTAAACTGAAGCCATACTTGGTCAAAAATGTTTTTAAAAGGGCACTTTACCAATTTTACACGTTAAGTTCAGTTTACCAGTCGTAACAATGAGTACTGCTCAGCTTGTGAAAGCAGTTGTAATGTCCTCTGTGGCTCAGCAGGCCGATTTCTACAATCCTTTCGGCTTGTGCTTGACACTTAAAATAAAACCCTGAGCTACAAACTGGTGTCGTTTAAAAGAAGTCAGCATTTAGGAGCCAAGAGGGTTTTTTGAAAGTGGGGCTGCAGCAAACAGTTCTTGTCATTATCGATTAATCTGTAGCTTGCTTTCTTGATTAATTTATTGGTCTATAAAACATCAGAAAACAATGATTCCCTAAAGCACAAAGTAACGGTATCTAATGTCTGCTGATAATGAACAGTCCCAAACCCCAAAAATATTCAATATACTATAATGTAGGAACAAGAAAAACTCTGAGAGCCTGGAACCTTCCCACATGTAGCAATTTTGCTTGAAAAATGTTTTAACTTATTAACGAGTTTTCAAAATAGATGCTGATTAATTAGACTAGTCAAATCAACTGTATCACTGGAATTGCAGAATGCAGTATTTTGGGAGCTTGACCTATACTGTAAAGGATATCAGGAAGTGTAATATTAAACCCTTTAATGGCACATTAGAGTCACACAGAGAGATGTTTTTAATTCAGTGCCACTTGGTTATTTTTGTCCAAACTGCAATTTAGGTTTAGTTTACTGGCAGACAACCTCTCAACCTCTCCACCTTCAGCAGTATTTGAACAAACCAGTAAAACTGTCAGAAGTTCAGTACTGAAGGATTCCTTCTTCCCTCAGGTTCCTACTACTGTCGAGATGTTCTGCTGCTACGGACCCGTGCTTCCAAACGGATATGGAGCGTGCTACAACCCTCAGTCCAACCACATTATCTTCTCTGTGTCCAGTTTCCGCGAGAGCCCGGAGACAAGTTCAGCAGAATTTGTCAAGTGTCTGGTGCAGGGACTCCTGGACATGAGGGATCTGTGCAATAAATGTAACTCCGGCTCCAACGCGGCCGCGCAGAGACAGGGTCAGACACTGGAGACGCACACGCAAACAGACACAAACTGGCAAAGCAAAACACTGCAGACATCAGCTGACCTTACCAAGAATCAGCAAACGCTGCCACAGGTTCTGCTGAAGACACCAGACCAGACTAAAGTGGAGGCTCAAACCCAGACTTCATCACAGGGAGAGGCACAAGCTTTAAAGAATGGGAGTAAATCATAGGAAACTGTGAAAATTATGGCGGTGAGATTTTAAATGTGTGTTTTTGTGCTGCAACAATGTATTCCTCTTGAGTCATTCACAAAATATAAACTGTAACTGTGATACAAAATGTTACGTAAAGCTGTTTACTGTATTGTAATATGTATCAAGTGCTGAAGAGAATCTAATTATTCTTATAGAGCATTAGAGGTGTGTAGTTGTTGTAGAGGTTTTTCTGCTGTTGTCACAAAAAAAATCTAATATACAACAGTAATTAAAATGTATGTCACAATGGGAACTGTACTTAGGTAAAAATACAAGCCAAATTTGTGCTTTTGATTGTTATTTTGCACTAAATTGAGGTGAATCAGCCAAAGAAAAAAGAATAGACGTTTGGTGACGACCAGTGCTACAGTTGAGGTTATCACTTTGTCCATGAAGTCTGTAAGTCAGTTTGACATTGCAATCTGTGAGTGATGATAAATGGCTGATTGTCTCACTATATGTCAACTTGCGAATCGCATGCTGCTATTAAATGATTTTATGAAGATTATGGTACATTGTAAAACTAGAGTCTTCTATGCAATTTCCATTTGTGTTGAGTTTATTGTACCAACAATACATGTGGTATTACTAAAAATGTCTGTATCCTTTCATCAAATCATTAGACATTTAGTTCATACTGTATTGTATTTAAGAAACAAAAAGCAACTGAACCACATGTTAAAGGGATACTATTTAGTTTAACAAAGAATGTTAAGTGTGATCAAAACTGTGTATTTGTAAATCTATAAGCAGAATATATCATATATATTACATATATATATATTACATATTAAGTTCTTTATTTTTGTATGATATAATGTTACAGGGTGTTTATGTAATGTTTGAAAAGTAAGTACATGAAACTTACAAACCAGAGGTGATCACTGTGTCTATTACTGTCCAAGTATTGTATCTATAAATTGCTGTTGAAAATTAAACTAAAAGAAAAGGAACTAAGATGTATGTTCATTTTGATGTTGCATATACCATGTTTGAGCTAAAAAAAAAAAAAAAATCTACTCTGGTTGTGTTTTATGAAAAATATAACGATAACCACATATTCAGGTAGTAAAGCAACTGGAGTAGCTTCATATAATGACATGTAATAAAATAAATAATCCACATAATAATTCAGATTTTGCAGGCTTTTTGCTTCATAACTGACTTTTTTTTGTCAAAAATATGTATTTATTTACCTTGTGGTTCTCATATTAAGACTTAATTCAATTATCATTGGAAACACATCACTCTTATTTGACTTATTGTAATGAAATACTCATAGATCTACTTGTGTAGAAGTGAACAATTTAATGTTGAATAAAGGCTATTTTTAAACAAGAGGAGCGAATGGGATTCCTGGACGCACTTCGGTGGAGGCCGTGTTAGCAACAGGTGAATAGTTGTCTGACAGTTACCCAGGCAACCACAACAAACAATGCCGAAAAACGCGCGGGTGACACTTTGCCACGGACCTTATGAATCCAATGGAGTCGTAGATCACAGGTGCTTCCGCCTGCAGGGCCTCCAGGGTATGTTTGGTCTCACGCCACAGTCCAAGTTGAATACTTGCATGTTGTCTGCTTTGTTGACGTTGTTTCCCCCCCCCACACACACACACACAAACAATGTCCGTCCAATATGTCCGCAGCCGTTCTGAGAGCGCGCGGGCATCAGTGCGTCTTGGAAGAAACGCGCGAGTGGAACATGGTGGAGCTCGTGGTCAACGGGCAGGTCATCTTCACCTGTTACATGAAGCAGCTTGAGTTTGGTGAGTTTTGGTCACTGGCAGTAGCTGTGACGGAAAGCAGCAGACTATATGTTACGTCATTGTGACGCCACTGTCTGAAGTTAAACAGAGTCACAGTCTGACGTCCTGTTTTTTTTTTTTTTTTTTTTTTTAAAAACCGAAAAGGTGGAGATGGAAAACTGGACCCCGTTTGCAAAGCGGCTGTTTCTGCTGTGGAGAACGCTTACTGAAACAGACACCTGCTCCTGAGCTATTCAATAAAAATAACCTCCATGTATCTTTCTCAGTTTTGTTAACAAGCTGCTGGTCATACTCACTGTCTTACCAAACCAAGTACGTCAGAAGCAGCAAGACCTCTGAAGGTATTAAAATGAGCAAAGGAAGCATGTTATTCAACTTCAATACATTTTATTGCATATTTTATTATTCCCAGAGGAAGTGCAGCTCATCAAGTTGTGCATATGTTTCAATGCCCACATTAAAATGGATTTTTCAATACAAAACTAACACCTTTTTTTTTTTTTTTTTTTATGTAAATTACATTTGTGTATGGCTTATGGTTAAATCTCCCAGCTGGAAGTGGAAAAGGGTAAGATACAATATAGCTAAACAGTAGGTCTAGTTTTATGGAGCATTTCTAAGCACAGTGGTAACCAATATCAATTCTGTTAAATACCTGGGGATTTTAATGTGACAGCCAGGCATCAATATTGCTCTCTAAGCTTCTAAGGCTTTTGCTGTGTTTATGTGTGGTGTTTATTGCGTGTGCGCATCCCTCAAGCCTCCGAAGAGGAAGCCGAGCCTTATGTCCTAAGTAGAAAACATGGCTGCAAGTCTCTGTGCCAGCTGGCTCATGTCTCCTGGTGAAGTGAGGTGTGACAATAAATACAGACTCCTCCGCTAGCAGCTAAGGTAGCCAAAGCAAACACAGGCACTAAACCTACTCATGTGTTAAATTTCAGAATAGTCTTCATACCTGTGATATGTGAGTCACATTCATTGTATAAGTTGATGTTTTGTGTGCGTCTCTTAGCTCCTGCTATACATCTATAAAAACACAACAAATACAAATCAATACTACTAAAATATACTAATATTCAGAGTGGCAGCAATGGAGGTATCTATAGTACTAAAGCTACTCCAATAACAAGTGATTGTCACAAATCTGGATTTTGGTGTGTGAATGTTATTAAAGGTACAAAGAGTATACTATTGCTATTCCAGCACTATACTAGATAACTATGTTTTATTACATTATATTCAATGTTTGTATAATCTCTTATTTTGAAATGAAGATGATGGAGTGTAGGATGGAGGTGTAGCACCGTTGACAGGCTGAAAATCTATCCTTCTAAGTTGGTAACACTTTAGAATAAAGGACACTGGAAAATTTGGAGTAGTTCTCAGGGAATAAATGAGAAACTAACTGCTAGTGAACCATTAGTTATTGAGTGACTCCTAATCAAATTTTATAGTAGTAATAAGTAGCTAATGATTAGTTAATTAAGAAACAAGTGAGGAACAAATCAGCGATAACTTCATAATTGATGAATTGTTAATAAGTAGTTCGCTAATAATTCCCAATGGAGGACTATATAGTAGATAATGATGAGTTACTACAGAACAGATCCTTTATTTATGAATTATTTTTATTTTATTAGGGAATGATTAGTTTGTGAATATCTGTGAAACGACCATACTGACCACTTTCTTCATATGAACCTCTGTTTACGGCAGAATATTCGTAACAATTCATTCATTAATAAATACTTAAAACATTAGTGACTGTTTTGGTGGCCCCTAAAGTAAAGTGGTGCGTAATACTGAGTGGTTACTGAGTACTGAATCTTTACTTTGTCATTTAATGATAACTACAAGTTGTCCCCTCAGAAATAGTGCAAAAAATGCCCTTGAAAAGACAAACCCATCCATTTTTTTTTTAAATAGTCAGCAGCAACCATTAACAAAACGATATGCTTATACTACTAGAAAAACTATGAAAAACTGTTCAATTAAATGAATAATAATTATTTTCTCTGGTATCTTTGTCATATACAGATATACAGTGATGCTTGCTGGGTAATATGCGTGATACAGTATATGATAATCTGTCAAGTCTAACATCTGCATGCCGAACGAGGAGTCACGCCTTTCAAACATCAACAAACAAAACATTCATGTTACATATTAAGTAATGGTTCCCTAGCAGTAAGTTCCTCAATCGTTTCTCATTGGTTCCCTGGTAACTGCTCCAAATTTTGTGTCCCTTATTGTAAAGTCTTAGTGTCTAGCTCTCTTTAGACAGACTTTGAGGTGTATACACACACTGCACTTATTCTGTAAAAGTATATAAAGGTGCAGAATAGTGTTGATTGAATTAAGTGCAGATTCTTCCAGTAAAGCCGGGATCAGACTACACGATATGATATTCCCACCCAATCCCACAGAGGTGTTTTTGAAGAGGTTTCCTCATTCAAAAGAGGCTATAATGATTGAGGGTGTTATATAAATAAACATGACTTGATTTTACTTGACATCGAGCCAGGGAACAATGTAGTGTGATCCAGGCATAAGTCAGTTAGTGTTGCCGACTTATCTTTTACACATGATTACCGAGTGATTATTACAAAGCTAAAAGAGTTGCCACCTGAAGACTTAATAAATAGACCATGGTGGTTGGAGATGAAACTGCACCTCCAGCCTGGTTCTTGTTCCAGTTCTCCGTTACAAGTCCTTCCCCTCAAAGGCGCTCAGGTTAAAAGCTGTGTCCATGAACCTCTTCAGCTCATTGAGGTGAGTGGACTTGTTTCCTGTCGCGGGAGCAGCTGCCGGGTCCCGTCCCACATACCTTAAAGACAAAATGGCACCAGTGACAGGAGTTCGAATCCTTCAGCCGATTCCATAAATTCTCAAAACGGATTTAGAACAAGTGACAAGTGAACAGAAACCCTTACCAAACGGGTTTCATGTTGGCCACCACTGTAAGGAAACGTGGCCGGACATAATCGTAGTAGCCCATGTTCTTGTGCTCTTCCTGACACCAGACCAGCTCAGCGTTGACGTATTTGTCTGCCTCTGCTCTGACAAGGTCAAATGGGAACGGAGAGATCTGAGGAGGGAAGCCAAAGAATAAACAGAAGAAGAAGAAATGGCAAAATCGCATCTCATTTTAAAATCCACAGTGCAGAGGAGAGGGATTAAACACCTGTTCAAGTCTGATGATGGCGATGTCTTTCTCCATTTTTTGCTGTTTCCTCTCTTTAGCCAGTTCATAATAGACTTTGCCAGTGCAGAAGATTACTCTCTTCACCTGGGCTGGGTTTTGATTCACAGGGCCCTCGTCTGGAATCAACCTCTTGAACTTAGTGCCTGCAGACATTGAATATGATGTGATCACTGTACACCAACATTTCAACATAGCTATACATTTTATAGACAAAGTAAAACTCCACCTTGGGATAGATCATCAAAACTGGACCTTGCATCCGGGAGCCTCAGCAGAGACTTAGGAGTGAAAATGATCAGCTGCGTAAAAAAAAAAGTTTCTGTCAGTGACAAACAACAGATTGATTCCATCATCCGCATCTTCACTGTGCACTTTGAAAAAACTCCAGAGATAAAAGTTTTTATCTCTTTTCACGCTAATTTGTTGCCACCATATAGCATGCAACATCAGCATTGGGAAAACAAAACATTTCTTAAACAATGAAATAAATAAAACCCTTTGTGCTCAGCCGACCAAGTCCAGAATTTCAGAGTTTTTCATAAAAAACAAACAATATTATCCCCTATTGGCTTCCTCACTAATTTGCTCGGGAAGTAATTTTCTCATGCTTCATGAAGCATTGCATTTATGTGCGACAGGGGATCAGTTAAGACATTCGCTCTGAAAACTGTGAGGGACTGAAAAAAGAACTGTGCTTATACAGAAGAGGAGAAATGCTTTACACCCGAAAAACTTTCTACCCAAACTACTTTAGGGGTTCAAAGTACTAATTAAGAACTATATTCGTACTGATTCTTTTTGAAGAATGGTTGTAGTTTTGTATCATATTAGGTCATTTTGACAGTATGTCTGTCATGAAGCGATATATATAGGACATACAATATTAGGACATAACCCCAATTTTTAGACTTTGATTTTGCTCAAATAAACTGCTGTTTTCCTCAAAGTTAAATACAGGTCAAACTAAATATTTGCAATGTCTTAAATCTTACGATTCTGGAAATGTAAGTGTTGTTCCGTACTACAAATGACTATCTGGACTAGTACGTATTGGCTTTATGGATTTCAATGCAATTTATTCAACATTTCAAAGCAAGATACAGCATAGTGAGGACGATGTTACACTTTACCGGTTTTCTGAATGGCAGCAGAATCTGCCGTCTGATCACATGACAGTAGTTAGCAGGTGTGGAGCAGTTGACCACAATCCAGTTACAATCATTCAGCTGCTGGACCTCAAAATCTCCACTGAACTCCTTTGTAAGAATAAAAAAAAAAAACAATTATAAATTATAAAGATTGTTGACTCTGAAAACAAATGCAACTTTGTGAGTTATTGTGTTGGTTGCAGCAAGGTTTCTTCTCATGATTGGGCAGGAGATGTAGCGCATGAGTGCATCAGTGCAATGTATCTCTTTCTCTCTCTCTCACACACACACACACACACACACACACACACGACAGATAATGTTAATCCCTTACTATGCTCCCACTAATAGTTTGATCAATATCCCATTTGAAGATGAATCTGGTAGGCTTCTGCTGATACAGCCCGCTCGGGTTCCCTCCTTCAACGTTCCCTCGTACCAGCTCACCCCTGAAACCTGAGTTACTGCTGAATACCAGCGCTTTGGACGCCATAATGAAGAGACTTTTCATCTCTAGAGAAATTGGCAATCATCACTTAAGCCATCACTTAAGTGGTCATGACATCAGCATAGCCAATAAAACAGGAAGCTATTGGATGTTAACTGCAGCACATTGTGAAGTGCTGTGCACTTTTTCTTTTATATATTATATGACTTAATCATGTCCTCAAAAACGGTAACCATTTGAGCCATAATGGAAATTGTACATGTGAACGTACAGGGAAGTGATCAGGATCATCTTTACTCATTTGCAGGAAGCGTTCGGGTCGAGCTGATGAATGTTCTGGGCCCTGATGAAGAGAAAAAGGACAAGACACTTAATGACAAAATGGATGAGAAATCCCACTAAAATACATGCCAGAAATATCCAAATTCCTTTGTAAAAACTGTAGAATGACACAGTATAACCTGGTTTATTTCTTCTCACCATTCCCTCCATCCCATGTGGCAGCAGCAGCACAATACCATTGTTGCGGACCCACTTGGCCTGGCCCGAGCTGATAAACTGGTCAATGATACACTGGGCTGTGTTGTGAAAGTCACCAAACTGGGCCTCCCAGAGGATCAGTGCATTTGGACTTGCCATGGCGAAGCCAAGCTCAAAACCTGAAGTGACAGTCATCATTACAATGAGCCACAAAATGACTAATCGGAGTGACCAGAGTGGCTTCAGTCTTACCTAGCACTCCAAACTCTGATAAGGAGCTGTTGCAGACAGTATAAGGAGCCTGGTTGGCCCACAGGTGATTCATGGGAACACAGATACGTTTGTCCACCTCTTGGTCGTGTAGAACATGATGACGGTGACTGCAAAACATAAGAGAAGCAGAGACAGTGAGTATTGAAACAACCATAAAGAAACAATGCTTCACACTAGTAGCTCTGTGAGGCTGCACTTAGAAACAGCAGCAGAGACAGACAGACAGAGCCATGCTGCTGGCATTGAAATCACCACTGTTGTGCCAAGTCATCCACTTATGTATGGTACTTCAAAAGATTTTGGAGCATAAAAAAATGAATCAATGTAATGACATCGTCTGTTACTAATAGAGCATATCACATTTAACTGAAATTAAGGGATAACGTGGGATGTAAATGAAAAACAACCACTCAAAAAAGGCATTGACACGTGTCTTACACAAACAGGGGTAACACTTTATAATGAGTACACACTATTAAGCATTAGTTAAGCATGAATAAATACTGAATTCATCATTTATAACGCATGAATACACATTAGTATGTAGTTTATAAACACAGTTAAAAATGTTTTACTCATCATTGATAAGCACATTAGTTATGGATTAGTAAATACTGAAGTCATCATTTATAAAGCATGATTCTGCTGTAAATAGTCATTACTATGTGGTTTATAATCACAGTTATAAATGTTTTACTCTTCATTGTACTGTACATTTCTGCATGCACTTGCACATCCACAATTCAGACATGTATTAATGATTAGTGACTGTGTAAGCAGATGTTCTATAAAACTCACAACAAATTCATTTTCTAATGATGGCCTATAAAAAGTTATTAATGCAGGAATTCACAGTTACAAAGCACTTACTACTCGTTAATTAAGTATTTTGCACAAGCTTATCTAAAGTGAGCACTATCTATGGCTTATTAAGGATTTACAAATGAGATATAAAGGCTGACAATGCCTCGAGACTCACAAAATGTTCAGTTATCTTAACAGACGAAGGAGAGACACAACACAAAGGGATATAGAACATATTGTATTGATATTTACTGCAACTTCCCAACATATTGTATGAAGACGAACAAGGGTGGTTTATGAACACATGCTATTGTTGTGATCTTATCTGTTTGGGACGTGAACGTTGAGCTCCCCGTGCAGAGACGTCATCAACGTGATGACGTGCTGAGAGCGGGATGTTACGTCATATTTACGTTAACTCTCAGAAGTTTCTGACAGTGCAGCCAAGGGGAGCATGGAGGAGCACATTGGAGTCGGCGGCCGTCAGCGGCTCTAGAGGAGAGTATGTGTCTTTGTTTGGTAGCACACATTATGGTTGAAAGTTAACGTTAGCTTGTCACTTATCACTAACGACTGACGTTACTAACGTTACCGACCCGCCCGCGGTGGCTAAACCGACCTGCCGCTGCTAGGCACTCACCTCGCCCGGCTAGACGAGACTAGGCTACGTCGGCTTAGCCACCGCGGGCGGGTCGGTAACGTTAGTAACGTCAGTCGTTAGTGTCAAGTGACAAGCTAACGTTATCTTTCAACCATAATGTGTGCTACCAAACAAAGACACATACTCTCTTCTAGAGCCGCTGACGGCCGCCGACTCCAATTTGCTCCTCCATGCTCCCCTTGGCTGCACTGTCAGAAACTTCTGAGAGTTAACGTAAATATGACGTAACATCCCGCTCTCAGCACGTCATCACGTTGATGACGTCTCTGCACGGGGAGCTCAACGTTCACGTCCCAAACAGATAAGATCACAACAATAGCATGTGTTCATAAACCACCTTCTTGTCTTCATACAATATGTTGGGAAGTTGCGTAAATATCAATACAATATGTTCTATATCCCTTTGTGTTGTGTTCTCCTTCTCTGTTAAGATAACTGAACATTTTGTGAGTCTCGAGGCATTGTCAGCCTTTATATCTCATTTGTAAATCCTTAATAAGCCATAGATAGTGCTCACTTTAGATAAGCTCGTGCAAAATACTTAATTAACGAGTAGTAAGTGCTTTGTAACTGTGAATTCCTGCATTAATCACTGTTTATAGGCCATCATTAGAAAATGAATTTGTTGTGAGTTTTATAGAACATCTGCTTACACAGTCACTAATCATTAATACATGTCTGAATAGTGGATGTGCAAGTGCATGCAGAAATGTACAGTACAATGAAGAGTAAAACATTTATAACTGTGATTATAAACCACATAGTAATGACTATTTACAGCAGAATCATGCTTTATAAATGATCAATTCAGTATTTACTAATCCATAACTAATCTGCTTATCAATGATAAATAAAACATTTTTAACTGTGTTTATAAACTACATACTAATGTGTATTCATGCGTTATAAATGATGAATTCAGTATTTATTAATGCTTAACTAATGCTTAATAGTGTGTACTCATTATAAAGTGTTACCCAAACAGGTTTTTAGCAGGGGTGTAAATTATAACTGATTATGTTTTTACAAAAAACTGAATGTGTTTAGTCTACAGAAGATAAAAAAAACATCTATAGAAAAAAATCCCTTTACAACAATAGAAAACATAGTAAATTATAACATAACCTGGAACCAGTTCATGTCTTGTCTGTTTTGCTTAATACATTTCTTAAATTATTAATCCATTATTGATTATGGATTTAAAAATGATATTTTCACCACTAATATTTAAAGGTGAAAAATCAAAGTGTGGTATTAATAACTGCAGAACAATATTGCCAGGACACTACACTGTCTTAAACGATGGTGGCAAAAAGAACAGGTTTTCTAGGGCAATAGGATTTCTTAACCCAGTAGATGTAGGGTAAAAACACACACACACACACACACACACACACACACACACACACACACACACACACACACACACAGCCCTGTGTCAGCCTACAAAGCCCTCCATGAAGAGTACCCTCCTCTCTCCTCATCATCAGTCAGTATGAGGCCCAACAAGAGTTGATGGAAGCAAAGAGCCAAGCGTTAACAAGCTCTGCCAGTCCTCTCGCTCGCAGTGTAGGAATCGGCCTTCAAAACCAGTACGATCAGACAATCACTTAAACCCCTTTAACATCACTTTAATGACATCTACACACGCACATACACTCAGAGCTAGTGGTTATGTAATAGTCAGGCGGAAGAACTGCAGGAAATAACCAACATTTTTTGATTATTATCTTGAATGTGATATATTGCCTTCTAGAAGACTAGATGATCACGATTTGAGACTTTGAATAATATCATCCATAATTATGGACTAATGAGGGCACAAGATATACTGCATAATTGTTTTGTTTGATCCTTGCTCCACATTTGCAGGATATACACTTTCTCTTCAAGAAATCCTTTGATGAGAGAACAAAATCAGGAGCATCCGGCATTAATTGAGGTAACACACATCATTTCATGTTTCATTTTCTCAATCTACTCGCACACAATCCAAAGAGGACCCTCACAAAAATGAGGTCTTTCTCTGGGATTGCCTCATAAACTGCCTGCCCACCTCTCTCATCTTCTCTTCTTACACACACACACACACACACACACACACACACACACACACACACACACACACACACACACACACACACACACACACACACACACACACACACACACACACACACACACACACTGCCTGGGGGGCCCATTAGTCAGGGAAAGGGGTGCATGGCGCAGTGCATACAACCCACCCAAACACAACGAACTGAATCCATTAGTCCACGCTGTTACGTACATCACTGAAACGCAAGCAGGCCCACTCAACTGCAACATGCCAATATGCTCAGCTCTTAAGAACTATGGACGGAAACGGAGTAGTGGGGGATGAAAAAAAGTGTAGGTAGGAGGAGGGGAAAAGCAATATGGGCCAGCGGTTTTAGTTGGGTGGGGGGGGTTTAGTGGCGGCGTAAAGTAAACTGAAGTACAACGAAAAAAGAAAGCTTGTGGAACTGACTCAGAGGAGTATTTAAATAAACAACAGGTGATACAGAGATGAAGGGTGGATTTAGTGTTTGACTGCCGTTATTTTCTTCAGCCAGGCAAATTACCCCGCTTAAGGGGACAGTGGACTTGGAGAAGTAGATGTCAGTGGTAAACGTGAGGCAAAAGAAAAAGCCTCGTGGCCTCTGGTTAGTTAGTGTGATGTATGTCGCTGAGAGCTGAGGAGGGGTGGGGGTGGGGAGGTTGGTATCTGTGAAGATGGGCTGTTGGAGAAATGATAGGGGACAGATGAGACAGGCGCAGTGAAAGGGGGAGCTGGTTTTGTTCATGTGTCACTCGTTCCCTCCATACCATGACAACACCATGTGGGCTTCACAGTTCCCAAGAGACTGTGCTGACGTCTTCTGTCTGTCAGGGCCACCAAGCCACCCACCCCCCCCTCAATTACTTAATTCACTATCTTTAGGTGACTTACTCTTTATCTCTGGTCAGGCAGGCTTGTCATTGTACAGCTGGTTGACATATGTGGATCATTATCCGGAATTAGGGATGTTTTTTGGCAGATGTATGCAATATCACATATAAAATTAAAAAAACCTTTTGTTCAAAACAATTAACTGTCATCCAGCATTGCACATTACATTAGAATAACTCTTCACTTGTATAAATAACTCCCTTTGTTCATTTTAAAGTACAGTTTATCAAAAGATAATGTCATTTAATCTTGATATGATTTAGCTGAAAATCTGTGACTGAATGAATTCACTTGCTGGGGGTAAGTGACTTCATTCAGTGAGTAGAGAGACTATGACTCCACAAGGACTCTGAAGCTTTAAAAATATGGACAGTAAATTCTAGAAAAGCTTATTCAATAACTACACTTGAGGATCCTTTAGTACAGCAGAGCTGCACACTGATCACCAGTACAAGACTGTGGTGGAGCTCGTCCTCGTGCAAGAGTATTAATACAAGAAAGTATAGAGGTTAAAAAAAGACAAAAATATAGATCCATGTGGAGGCAACATTAAGGCCCCATAATGTAACTTTTCTACTGAAAAAACAGTTTCTAAATCATTTTGATGCTACACTGACTTGTAATTGGGTGAATAGTGCCTCTCTGCCCCGTACACCTGTTCTTGTAAAATGTAACTTTTGGCTGCGGGTCGGTAAGTTAATCACTAAGCTAGTTGGCTCAGTCCATGCTGCCCGGAATGGGAGCTCAAAAACACTGGGGGAGCAAAAAAGCTTTTGACCACAGGAAAGATGTGGGTTCCATGCCCAGGGCGAGGGGGATCTGGAGCCGGGCTCACCAGCCTCTGCGGACATGGCAAGGGTGAAGAAATCCAGGACAACGTTGACGGAGGAAGTGAAGAAGAGAATTTTGGAGAGGCTTTTAGTCATGAAATAAAAGGCTGCAGACAGACGGCGAGCTGGCCTTCTTGCTGTAAGACTAGTAGGTTTTATCAGCTGGCTTGCTATGTCTTGTATGACTGTGTTAGAAAAGTTGTCAACTCACTAGTTTTTGATGATAAGTAATGTAATCATAACAAATGCATATGTACAACTGTCCATCGGTACAACAGTGGTGTTGCACTGGGGGTGCCCAATCACAACAAATACCAAATCTTACATAGTGCTTAGTTGCTTTAAGTCCCTTCTTTAAGTCGCTGCTTTAAGTCTTCAGTTGTGTTGACATGGACTCACCTAAAGGTGCCCCGCTCTACATCCTGCCCACTGAGTCGCACATGGATGCCGTCTTTGAGTAGGGAACCAAAAGCCATGTACTCTCCTAGAGCCCAGTCCATTTGCCGATTCTTCACCAGCTCAGCTCGACCACGAAGGATACGAGACACACCTGGAGAGACACACACACACACACACACACACACACACACACACACACACACACACACACACACACACACACACACACACACACACACACACACACACACACAGAGAGAGAGGAACAAAAAGTTTGTGTGTTGACTTGATGTATTAGGAGAGCGATGGGGAAAAGTGGAAAATGCAATGGACTGATGTACTGTATTGTAAATAACATAAAAACCCTATTAATTGCTATTGTGAGCCAAATTAGGGGTGCAGGTCAAACACCTGCTGTTAGGAAAGGATGTGTTTACAGGTGAACTGCCTTAAGTATTTGTGACACTGAGGTTTATGTGTTTTATGGATCTTTATCACTTAGCAGCATGTATTCCATATTCCACTCTTCGTCATTCTGTAGATTTCTAGCACAACTCAGTATTACCATGACCGTTGGCCTTTCTCTCTGCTCTATTCTCCAGCACAAGGCAACTAAACTCACCAGGGTGGATCTTAAAATCTTCCAGAGGCACTGAGCTGGCTGTCTGGCCAATGTGCTGCAGAACCTCCTCATCCAGTCCTGTGGGGACACAGCTCATGCTCCTGGGTTCTCCCTCCGCTGTGAAGAAATCTACAGAGAGAGAGAATACTTCACTCCAGCAGGAAGAGAAAATATTTAAAGAAAAAGCAGTCAATCAAATAAAAACTTGAGTTACTAAATTGCAAAGGGGCAATTTACCTGGCCAGGGGGAGTCGAGCCAGTGTTGAATATGTAAAATCTTTTCATCCTTGGAGCTGGTGTATGCCTCCTCACATATCTTGTCATATTTGGCAACTTCTTCCTGTGACCAACATTTGGCAATGCGTGATATGGACAGAGAAATGTCACATATTAACTGATGCACAGTTTGTCTGCTTCGATTAAAATACAGCTGACTAACCAAAACGGTGTAGCTGAGACATAGAGACAGAGACAGATATTAGAAGTCTCCACTAGCAGTAATGGTTCTGCCTTGCTATATTACAAATGGGGCTTTTGCAGTTGAGTCCAAATAGCAGGCCACACAACCGAAAACAATGTCCATCAAAAGCCAGGAACTAGCACACCAGAAAGGAGCTGCAGTATTTCTCTGACATGTGGTATAAAAAAAAATGTTCAGAATGGATGTTACAATCAAAGTTTCTGTTTTGGATGAAGAACCTAAGCAATTCCATTGAATGGTGCCAGAATCTGAGGTATGCTTCAACTTCACTGAGCAATATATACTCTATGTGAGGGATTGTGAGGCTAGGTGATTGAACTGAGGCAGTAAATTGAACTCAAATACAGCAGTGCTGGCACAACATATTTACTAGAAGGCTAGGGTAATATCTAAGTGTGATTTAATGCACACAGTCCGGCGGATGGTGATACAAAGTAAAATAGCATACAGTAGCAGCTACCACTACCACTATACAGTATATTTAACAAGAACAAACAGCATTAGATCATAAACCTCAAATTCCTGCAGTGTCACCACACCCTCAGCAATGAGCTTGTCAGAGTACTTTTTCAGCACATGCTCCTGCCGACGGATCTGTTTGTACATCAGCGGCTGGGTGAACATGGGCTCGTCCATCTCATTGTGGCCAAACCGTCTGTAACTAACCTGTAAATACACACACACAGAAGCCACGTCTAAGTGTGGACTTAGAATTGTGTTTTCCTGATAATCCATTAAGACTTGGCTCGGACTAACCAGGTCAATGACGACATCTTTATTGAAGGTGGTCCTCCATTCTGCAGCCACCCGGCACACATACATGACAGCCTCAGGGTCATCGGCATTCACATGGAAGATGGGTGCATTGACAACCCGAGCCACATCAGTGGGGTAGGGGGAGGAGCGGGCCACTCGAGGGTCCGTAGTGAAGCCAATCTGAGAGGCAACAATCACACGCCAAAGTTGACACAACTTAGAGCCTAGAATCACACAGAAAATGTGCTCCACTATTAGAAATAATTATTTGCAGTTTTCTTGGAATAATACATTTAAATAACAAAGATTTGTGAAAAAACACAATATCAAAACATCAAAAATAATGAATTTCAAAAATACAATCCCACCAACAGTTGACAGATGATAGTTAATTATTGTCTAGCCCCACTAATTATTATTAATAGCAGCAGAAGTAATAATAATTGTATTAGTGTGACTGCCATAACTGTTTGCATGATGGCAAATTCAAAGATATAAACATTCTGGTAAATGTGTCAGGTCACTTGTTACAGTGACACCAAACTCTGCTTACCTGGTTGTTGACCACCACATGGATTGTCCCATGTGTGGTGTAGGAGGGCAGCTCACTTAGGTGGAAAGTCTCATACACAACACCTTGTCCAGCAAATGCAGCGTCACCATGCATCAAGATGGACATCACCTGGAAAAAATTACACAAGGTTTACGAATCTACATTTACAACACCAAACATCAAATAAGCCACCATTTACACGGTACAGTAACTGTTTTTGATTTTTAATTTTAATATTTAATATACCTTCTTTCCCTGAGTGTCTCCTCTGTAGAACTGCTCAGCTTTGGCCTTGCCCTGAACCACTGGATCCACTGCCTCCAGGTGGGACGGGTTTGCCATGAGTGACAGTGTGATGTTCTTGTCTGTTTCACGGTTAATCCTCTCATGGTACATCCCAAGGTGGTATTTGACATCACCCGAACCCTAAAGGTGTAGAAAAGGATATGAAATAAAGCATAATCTCCAAAATTCTGTTTTTTTCCATCCATCAGCTGTTCCCTCACCTCATCAGCAGCCTCTAACTTGGGGTCAAACTGACAGAAGATCTGATCCAAGTCCTTACGGATGACATTGGCCAAGACATTCAGTCGACCCCTGGAAGTAAAGTTAGAAAGTCTACATCAAATATGGAAAGACAAGAATGAGCTGTATGCATAGATTGAACCGAGAGGGGAGAAAATGTGGAATACACCGTACCGATGGGGCATCCCCATGATCACACTGTCGATGCCTGCAGCGCTCGACTTGTCGATGATGGTTTTAAGGGCAGGGATGAGCACTTCACAGCCTTCCAGACCAAAACGTTTCTCTGATGACCACTTTCTGGCCAGGAAGTCCTCAAACCTGGACATAAAAAAGGTTATAATAGTTTACATGTAACCTGTTCCACTAAGCTTTGCACAATTGATGTGGAACACTACTTTGGAATAATACAACAATAGTTTAGAGAACATGTACATGCAAATTTATCTCAGTGCCAATGTGTGATTATAGCTGAGATAATTTTTCAAAGATGAAAATGAGCTCACATGAAGAATAGGGTGTTTATCTTTGCAAATATATGCATGTGCAGGAGTTTTGTTTATGTTATGCAAGGCTCTGATGTGAGCTATAACTAAAAGTGATGTACTGTGCTGTCATTAAATTGTATGTCACTAGATGCTTATTCATTCACTGACCGTGTGGATCTGATCAGGCGGGCTAACAAAGTTCTCTTCTCAGCATTAGTGAACTGCATGATCCCTGGAGTCTCAATTTTCTGACGAATCCACTGACACTGGTCCACATTGTTAATGAACATAAATTCAACCCCTATGTGACTGCAGTAGGATGTCTGAAAAAAACAAACAAATAGCATGGTACAGTGTTATTGCCCCCCCCCCCCCAATCATTAGAAATATGTATGGATGCAAATACACAAACAAAATACCTCTAGTCTGCGTATGATTTCTCTAAGAGGAAGAGTGGTGTCTCCTCCTCCGATGAAGGTGGTGGGGGGCAGTTGAAAGCTCCTGTCCAAGTCAGACTCATCAAGACCGTAGAAACCTACAATAACATTGTATAATAACAGCATGTTTTCTTTTTTACTTTCAAGAACATAACATACCCTTCTGGCCCTGAGCACATATTCCATGTCTTATCAAAAATATTCTCCCTCTCAAATTATAATTAAAGTTGCAGAGGTGGGAAGCTGTTTTAGCATGTTTCTAATGCAATTCAACAGGGCTTAAGAAAGAAAAAAGAAAACAACCAGAACAAATCCTTTTCAGCACAATAACATTCATAACACAAAGACCTGCCTTCATCCAAGTTTAATTAATGACCTGAAATCTTAATATATTTCGAGATCTTAAGTTCTTCCAACATGTGAAGGCAGCAGAAGTCAGAGCTAAGATTGTGACCAAAACAGTATTAAACAGGTTAATAATTACTGAAATGTTGGTAATACAGAAATGGGGGGGAAAAAACACTTAAAATTTGAACATTTTGACAATTAGCTTTAGTCATTTATCAAGTATAAATGGTCAACAATCATTAGTTCCTTCTTCTCAAGAGTGAGGATGTAGTGACTTGATTTTCACTTCACGTAGATAATTAAAATATTTTTCACCTGCCATTCTAACTGTGACTGAAATTCAATTGAAATTCATCACTTTTTTGGGTTAGACTTTTGTAGTTTTTTAATGAATAGGACAGTAGTCCTCCCTGCGAAGTTAGAGCATAACACTGCAGTGAATTAATTTAGATTTTGACCCAAGTAAAAAGACAGGGGGAAAAAAACACTCTTGTGAAATAAAAAACAATTATTCAGGAGGCATTTGTAGACAGTACAATAGTAGGACCTGTAGACATACAGCATTAGTACTGGCAGCCCCACATAAGTTTCTGTGCTGACAAAGCCCACCTGAGAGAGCTGGTCAAGCTCAAGATCACAGGCAACATAAGAGGAGACAGTTGCAAATCATATTAGGAACACAGCAAAGACAAAGGGGGCCAAGAATAGCCTCTTGTACTATCAGCTGACCAAATAAGGGTCATTAGCTTTCATTAGGGAGCTATAGCCCTGGTGACAATACATAATGCAAAGCTATGTCCTGACAAACACTGATCACTGATAACAACCAACAGAAACAATGTCTCTCTCTCTCTCTCTTCTCTTTACTAGCTATTACTGTAGACTTCGATCGCTTGCTGTGGCCGTCCCGCATTTACCAATCCTCTGTCCGCTAAATAAAATGGAGAATGACAAGAGCTGGGCCTGAGATTAATGACAGCATTAGGCAGACCAACCCGGACTTGGCAGAAAACGCGATGGGGCCTTTTATGAAATACCACTCATGAGTTATGCAACCCTGGACCAGAGTATTGTGTAGAGTGTACAGTACATACATGTGTAATAGATACACATGTATGTACTGTACAAACCCTCAAAGGGATACAGATGTGCTGTTGAAATACAAAATACAAATCAGATGTGTTCATTGGAATTCAAGGAGAATGAAGCCTTGAAGTATATATAATATACTCATGACTAAAACACACGAAGAGTATTGTGAGGAAAGTAGAAGGAAGGACATCTATAGTAGGAATCTAATCAGCATATATACTATAGTGCCTGTGGGTTAACTCCATATGCATTTAGTTAAGAAATTAGGAAAAGGAGGAGTTCTATATCTCTTCTGTAGAAAGTCTATACCAGAAAATGTATAATTACTGTAGATCTGCATTTAGATAATAAGCTATCAGTCTATAGTATTCTATAATATTTTATTGCGGTGTGCTTGGGATGACTGCAGAGGTCATGAGGCTCACCTAACTTATCGAGGCTGGTGATCAGGTCAGAGGGAACGAAGGAGTCCAGGTCAGCCTCCAGGATTCCCAGAGGATCTAACTGGGCAACATGGTGACCACGAATCTACACAGAGAGTCAGACAGAGATGTGAGGGAGGCAGGAGGAAAGAAGAGAAGAGGAGAATCAGGTTAAAACAGAGAAAGTGACAGAAGGGAGAGAATAAGATTCAGCAAGGGGCTGCCATCATGATGCTGAGTACGTACAGCTGGAGAATAAGCTAAAACTCAGTTATAGGTCAACCTTTCTGAGAAAAGAGCCCCATGGGAGTGCTTTTATGTCTATGTACACACATCTGCACACACACATTCCCACCAGGATTGCAACAAGCTGGGAATAAAAGTGACGCCTTTGCCAAAAGACAGAATTTAATAAATCCCTCGGATAGTTCCTCGAATTAATTTGAGGGCGAGAGGAAATGTTACCACCTGTTTTGTTTAAGTAGTCTCTTTGATATTTCCATTTTCAAAAAGCAGCCAGGGTAAGTAGGTTAGAGCTAATCTTGTTATTTGCATAACCTCTCGCAGTGACAAACAAATTGTATATTCCTTTTAATACAAGGACGGACAGTATAAACAGCTTTCATTGCCAGTTGCATCTGTTTTGGCAAGTCAAGTGTATTTTTTTTATGCATTTTTGACACACACACGTTGGAGAAACAAATAGTCAGCCAGTGGTTCCTCGAAGTAGATGACATCTTAATTCTGTACACAGAGAGTACATTAAGATTTAATTGGATGCCCACGAGATATGTGATCAATCTTTTAAATTGTAAATAACATAAATCCACATCATACAAGATGATAGCTGATGTGTGTGTGTGTGTGTGTGTGTGTGTGTGTGTGTGTGTGTGTCTGTCTCACAGCTGGGCCGGTAAGTGTGGGGTACCTGGTAGGCTCTAATGAGAGTGTGCACAGCCAGGTGGTCCTCCACCACTTTCTGCGCCATGTCTGGTGAGTGGGACAGCACTCGGCCCTGGAGCAGAGCGGAGGGGCGTCTCTCACCCGCCTCGCCAGACGGACTGGAGGCCTGGATGTTACGGAAGAATGCGTCCCAAGTCTAGAACACAGAGGAAGACAGATCCAGCAGAGGCAAGCAGGTCCATCGCAAATATGGACCCAAAGTATCCCCGCTGTTATAACTGGCTGCTAGGTTGGGAGATGACAGGACAGTGAAAGTGGAAATCGCAGCTACAGCATATTTGTACATGCCCCAGGCGACTGAGCTACCATCACACCATAGTGCACATTTATGAAGTGCCCTCGGGCCAGGGATTTGCTGAACTGCATTTCAAGATCAAAACTGCAACAGCAGTTCATTGTAATTTAGTTACTAAACCAACTCTGTTTCAAGCTGTGCTGGACATTGTTTCCATTCATGGGCAAAAAAACTTGAACAATAATATATCATGTCTTTTGTTATTCCCTAATGTGGGAATTAATGGCACATGTGGCACACAGTTACCTCGTGGACGTTTTTAGGATCCTCCAGCCAGGCAAAATACATCTCCTCCACATAGCTGGAGCTACTGACCACCGCTGAGGGAGCAGGCGCAGTCCCGGAGGAGCAGCCTCTCCTGGGATCAACCCAGCGCCTGGCCGGGCCTCCTCCACAACCTCGCAGCCACTGACTCCCCCCGGCACGCCCACTCCTCAGCACACCCGCTAACGCCCGAAACTGACTCATGGCTGCAGGAAGGCAGAGTGAAAGAGAAAGTTGGCGGTTAGAGAGAATTTAGAAATAGCCATTTTGGATGCAGGTTTTAGAAAATGCAAAAAAAAAAAAAAGTGTGCATGACTGGATTGTGCGCCAGTTTCATTACAAACATCCTCTGAATGATGTTTCTCTGTATGTCAGTGTCAGCTGGTTGCAGGTGATGCACAGAGCGCTACAGGCTCGTTACGGATGAAACGACATCTACAAGCATATATTATCGATTTCAACTCATCGAAGCGGCGCGTCATTAACGTAAAACCTCTGCGAGAGCAAACGCGGCCACGTAACGGCCCTGTGCGTCTGTTTCTGCGCAAAGTCTCTGCAGCTGCAAAAAGCGCAGTAACCGCAATCAGCCCGTGTATGAGGGTCCACTGCTGCAGTATTTACCCGCTGCTACAAACTTCCTCACCTTCTTATCCCCTGCAGGATGCTTTACAGGCTCCTTCAGCGCCGACATCAATACCAAAACATTGCCTATTCGCTTCTGGGTCTGTTACGCTTTCCCTGGACCTCTAATCCCTCAACGTCAACATAAATCCTCATAATCTTCCCTCGGCTCTGCCACTGGGAACAGCGCGGTATCACGGGTAACAGGGCAGTGGTTTAAAGTGTCACCTACGCTTTATTTGTAGAAATTACGGTTTACCTTAAACTGCACCGATTGTCATCGCCGATGGGTGCGAGTAGGACAGGTATCAGTGAAGGTGACAGATCCGAGCGCGCACACGCACACACACACACAAGGCTTGGCACGCCCCCTACCCTCCTGCGTGTCAGGTGGTGCATCCGAGGTCGCCTGCTGCACCCAAAGGTGCCAGTGGTGCCAAGGTAACGGGCAAACACATCCGGTCAGGGAGGCAGGGAAATAAAAATACAAATAAAAAATGATCAGAAAACAATTATTTGAAATCAAGTTTGTTTATAACAGCAATTCATCTTTAATGCTGTCAGCTCAAATCTATGCAGCCCTCCACCTCCAGACAGGCCATTTTTTTAAAGTTACATCACACATGTGTCTTTCCCCTCAAGTGTTAATTACATAAGCCAATTAAACTTTTATAAAGGCTGAACATAAGTCATTTGAGCAAGTGGTTTCAGATTGATGGGTTTCTACCTTGAGTGGGTTAAACAATAAAATTATTGGCCCTCCCTCCAGCCTCTTTCCTCCCCTCCCCTCCCCTCCCCTTCATCATTCATACTTGCTGGCACAGAAGAAACAGCAGTATCAATCATGACAAACACGCCACTGTAAAGAGGGGGAAAAAAGGAGTGGGCACGGGTTGCAAGAGGATCCACCAGACAGACCAGTGTAGGTCTCAATATCAAAACATTATAAGGTTGTTTTTTTACTGGTCATTTTCTAAAATCAGTATGTAGTGCAGTCCCTCCCTTCAACACCACCAAAATGTCTAATTAATCCATTAAAATATTTACTCACATGATCCACAGCTTATTCTATATACCCATCAATAAAAGCAAAGCTTTAACTCTCTCTCAAAAGAAACACAATAATGCTCAGCCTGAAAGGGAGTTCCTCCTTTTTCATTATTTGCATTTGTGTTTGCTGCTGCTCTCCCGCTGACCTGGAGAACGCAGGGTCAGGCAATTATGAACTGAAATGCCATTTTGTTGTAGTGACTTTGCCGCCTGACAAAGATGGAGTGAAGACCAGTTGCTTTCTGGCGTTTTATTAATAGTGTTCATCGATGAAAAGACCTGTGCCGCTGGGTAACATTACGGGCTTGGTGTTAAATTACATCCTGTTTAGAATAATTCCATCACAAGACAGGACAAAAGTGGAGCAGCTGTTCACTGTTTGAAACATTTCTTGTGTATGGGGAAATAAAAACAAGGCACAATTGTCTAACCTCCGTTAAATGAAATGTGAAACAGTAGAAATATGTCATCAATGCTGTTGACTGTGGTTATTCATTTTTAGGACTTGCCTGGAACATTCAGTCAATGTCCAAATAAATCTTTGATTCAATCCAGGAGGCACCAGTAACCTAAATAAAGTTCATGTCCAGGTGACTGAAGCTCGCAGCCGCCAACAGTTAGGTCTGCCAAACCAAATTGACTTTGGACACGAGTCCACAGCTCATCTGGTCAATGCCGGGCTCAGTGCAAAGAGCAGGAGAAGCAGATAATGTGTAATCCACTTACCATAGCCAAGCCTACACACCATTTATGGAAGTCCACGTCATGAGTTATTTAGGAACCCTAATTAATCTAATAAAGCATGTTTGGAGGCAGAATCAAATTTGTCTGAAAGCCTTTGGTACACGTGCTATAAGAAAAATCAATCACATTTTCAATGATTAAATAATGTATGATTTCATGAAATTAAGTGACAAATCTGTGGTGCCAAGGCACAGTTACAAATATGCGTATAAAAAAAAACAGTATGATGAAGTCAAGAGACTGAAATACAATCTGTTATTTCTAGATAATCTACAAGTAATTACATTACCCCAACGTAAAGAAATAACATACTGCGATGATTGCAGAAAGGCTTTTTGCCATCATTTTTGGTTAACATTAAAACGTGAGCTTTTATTGTAATGTACCTTTGGTCATTAGGCAGTAAACTGTACCGATTTGAGCAGAGGAATATCAACACAGGATATACTTTAATTAAGAAATTATAATATAAAGAGTACAACCAAAATAATCTAAAGTACAACATACTACGCAATACATTTACAGTCTTTAATCTATCTATGAAACCATTATTAAATAGAACCCACATTGTCAATCAGGAAATACAGTAAATAATAAAAACATAACCACATCCCCAAAGTAAATGTTGAGTAAAAACATTAACAAAAATAATATTTTGCGTGCAATTCTTTCTTTATCTGCTTCCCCCTTTATTTATATACAGTAGTAATACTGTGCTTAACTGAATATATTTGAAATGATTAAATTACTCAGTGGTCTGAGATGAAAATGACCATAAATTTCCTCTATCTATTTCATCTGAGATGACTCTCATACCAGTGATCATTTTTATTGATAAGTTTTGACTCATATTAAAATAAGGACAATATGTGTGTTGAGCATCGACATCCTAGAGGATATAAAAGAGCAGCATATATTTGTAGAATATTTGATAAATAAATGTTACCCATGCATAGACTACAGTATGGCATCTCATTATCTCTCTGCATTCAGGAACCTCACCACAGCCTGGGTATAGTAAATAGAGAAGACAACTCATTCAAAAAAAAGTAGCTAACACAATATAGGACATATAAGTTGAAGCATTATCATGTCCTGGATTATCAATAACAAAACGTGTTAACAACCATGCATATGATGAATATTTGGCCATACTGTGATTAGAAAGTAAAAACAGAAGAATTCCACATCACATTTAGACTAAAGAAAGGCCTAACAGCAACCAGGATTTACTATTGCTATAAGTCTCTGAAAACTTCTCACCACATTTGGTGACATCCTACAAGGCTCCTATAATACCACCAACAAGAAAGGCAAAACTGTGTTTTGGTAGTTTGTGTGTTGGGATCACAAACTTAAAGGGAGTGTGTGTTTGTGAGAGAAAAAGTGATTGTAAGCACATGGCTGAGAGAACACTGAGGTTTCAGAACCTGGAGTCTCTTTTACTTTAAGTTGCAGCTCTCCCCGAGTTAATGAGAGTCCAGTGTTGAGAAGGAAATCCCAGAATCCTTGGAAGCGTGGATGTCGGAGGTTGGGTGTGAAGAGACTTTCTCGTAGATGAAACTGTAGAGACTGACGTCAGGTCGAGTCGTGCGGCAGTTCTTACACACCACACTGGAGTACTGGTTCAAAAGGCTGTACAGCCTCCCTGAGAGGGTAAAGGAGAGCGGTGAGGAAAAGAGGAAGAGATGCAGAGGGAGGGGATGGTGCAAGGGTCAAGGGAAGGATGAAATATAGAGGGAGATAAAACAGGATTTGAGAGGAATAGATAAAAAGGACAAACGGGTTCAGAGTGAAAGAACAAGCAAGAGAGACCGAAACTAACATAAAAAAAAAAAACGAAGAAAAATGAAAGCGCGTTCAGGCTCATTTATAAATCACGCGCACATACACGCGCACACAAGCCGTGAGCCTTTTTTCTGCAGCTCCACTTTAGGAAATGGATGGCTAGAGGGGAATTTCTCTGAAAGGCTTCAATAAATGTCAGCAGAAGAAAAATGAAAAGAGGGGGGAAGGGAGAGGCTGGGGTCAGTTCAGGCAGTAATCCACTCTGCAGCTGAGGCTGAATAGATGGGCTGAGGAACAGGGATGGCCCATAAGGTGGAATAACTTAACATACAGATGGACTACATTCTGTTATTTATACGCACTGTCCCTTTAATGACGCCAACAAGGACAACCTCCATGTGCTGTATGAGCCTCAGGAGCCCCACAATCCCACCAGTTACTGATATCGTCACCATTCCTGCTCATTATGTAATTTACTGTAAGAGCTCAACGGAGGAAGGGCTGAAAAGATAGTAACTGTGTGAGTGCGTCGTGGACTGCAAGTCTAACTCCCGCAAAACAAATATACTTAACACGTTTAGTTTGGTGTGTGAGTCTTACCGACAGTGACTTCTCTCTTTGTGAGGAAAGTGTGTATTTCATGAACATCTCTCATAAGCTGAGCATCTCCGAATGTGAAGTACGCCACGTCTCTCCCAGCCTCTGCTGCAGCCATCAACTGAATCAGCGCTGAAAAAGAGAAGTAGAACGCTAAAGGGAAATTCAGACAGCGATGATATACTGTTTTAGCATCATTAGTATCCTTCAGTTTCAGAGGGAAGTCATAAATGTGTAATTGACCACTGAAAATAAGCTGAGGAAACTTAGTAATTGGTCACTAAGCTGGATAAGGTATGGCTTCAGGCAGAAAAAAAACACAAGTGACAAGGGCAATTTGTATCAGAAGAGTAAATAACCACCACCGGTAGCATAGCCTCATCAACAGCACTCAATCTTTTAGCCCTTGCAAATGAGGTCTTAAGACTTTTAAATATTTAACAGAATGGATATTGATTCCAGATTAATAAACACAGAAAACCATCATTTGCAAAAGGTTTGTAATCTTACAACAACATAACAGCTCAGTCTTATGTTAACTACCACATCCCCAGTCAGCTGCGGGACAATAATGTAAAATACAGTTATTGCCTTCTAAAAATACCAGCTATGCTAATTCTAGGGCTAACGGGCAGGGGTCCCCGGAAGCTAATATCATCCTCTGGGACTCCAGTCAAGTCCAGTGGATCTATTCGTAGCATGCTACAGAGGAAATTAACGGCTTCACTTCTAAATGAAACTGTACAAACACATACCCATGTTCCTCCAATATTATTCGCATTTATAATGCACAACATTTATGTGGAGATGTGGGTTTTACCACAGCACAGCCTCCAAGAATCTAGGCGTAACGCAGAACAACATTAACATTGTTCATAAAGTACACTGACCAGGAACGCAACTGGTCAAAATTTGCAGTGTGGACAGTAAGGGGAACCTGCTTATAAAGAGTGATGTTGTGTGAGCCTGCTGAGACCTGTGTCAGCGTGGATTTATGGTGTCCCCTCGCTTTAATCAATTGCCCTTTTAATGGAAAACATAAATGTGAGTCAGCTAATCAATAAAGGGAGTGAAGCAGCAGGTGAATGACACCCTGGGAGAGCTACTAATTGACCAGAGGGGTTTGAGAGAGATTGGCATCTATGGCTGTCGTGGTGTCCTACAGCAGGGGCTTCAATGGCTGGGAAATCTAGCTACTGATGTTTACCTTCTGCTCCAGAATCCAGAACATTTTAAGTAGTACCATTTCAGCCCCCATGTATTAAAAAAAGTAAATTTCTTCACACTTGTTGTTATATACCCCCTATTTGGATAAATATTTGTAATTCAGCCAATGATACCTTTGAGCCGTGTGTCTCCACCAAAAGCTCCACAACCCCAGTTGCCTGTGGCTACTGCAGAGAGGTGCTGGCGGTTGGCGTTACTTCGGAAGAATCCACAGTATGCCTTGGAAAAATGCACAGGGAGTAGGAGGAAGGAAACGTAGGGAAGAGAAACTTTTTAATGACGAACAATAAACAATCAAAATTTTGTGCCATATTGAGATCTCGGCATCATACAGCAGCGTTTTTTTTCAGTTTGGTGGATTTCATGTGACATCAAGTAACTATGTGCCTCAGGCCAAACCATAAGTAAATTTAAAGATACATAGGTGTATCATATTTAGCAAATTCATCAACAGAAAAGGCTGTAGTAAATGACAGTACCACTACTTTAAAATATGCAGTACGGTCTGATAAGCTCTCGGTAGCCTTGAGCTAAATTCAGCGGTGTTACAGATCACCGAGCCTTTAATTAACATCTTTGCAGGTGGTGCCTGACGCTATGTCAAAGTTTAACACCATGAGCTTTTAGTCAAAAACCTCAGATTATCCTATCTGAAAATAACATCTTCTTGAAGGTACCTAGAGGTGATACTGTATTTCATCTTGTGTCCTTTCACAAAGACACATCTGTTTGAGGAATGTGTGATACTGTATGTAAGCCAATTACATTTTCTTAGTCACTGTGCGAACACAGACTAGGACTTCTCTCTTTCTCTCTCACCTTGTTGAGTTCTCTGTTCATCTTCTCAGGGAGAAACTGCTCTAGGAAGTGCCTGAATTTAAGAGCATCAATGGCCACAATCTCTGTACACCGTCTCTGCCAGTCATCCCTGGAAATGAAAGGAAAACCATGATAGAGGTGGGACTAACAATGACTTCGAACGATCTTTCCATCCTTCCTCAAACTTTTTCTCACTGGATTAAATATTTGTGGTTTCAAATATTAGAACAATCCCAAAATGTTAAATAGCACTACGTGAGAAATAATTACCTGGGAGTTTCATCATTGTGGCTCTCCTTCCATTTGTAACTCTCAGCATAGCCAGAATATTTACTGTATTGTTCAGTACCTGCAGAACGAGACAGAAAGTAAAGGAAAAAGATGACGTTACTCTGTATTCAGCAGTCAGAGCACACAGTGGGCCGTAATCTATTTCAGCGCCTTATTTCTTAAATCAAATTTAGTGCTTTCTGTGCTCCCCATGTGAGTACACAGTATCAGCTTGTATTGGATTGTCATAAATAAAGGCCATTGATTTAATAAGTAATCCGCTTTGGGGTTTGAAATGAAAAGCTTTCAGCCATAATAGGAAGAAATGGCTAGAACAGAAGAAGCTAAACTTGGCCACATTTGCTAAATGCTTGTATGAAACATCACCATATCATTCACTAAGAGTAACACACCCCCTCTTACACAGACATTAGCCTTTTTAAAATGTGTACTGGTATGTGCTCAGGGTTAGAAAGATTTCATCATTCGTCACTACAAATACAGCTGCGCTCAATTCTGAAAATGATGCCTATTAAAGACTCCATACATAATGCATTAGGTGTGAGGAAGTTACACTGCACTATAAGACCAGGAGTTAACATGTGATTAACGTTTCCTTTGAGTTTGTCCTGTATGTACTGGCAGTTACGTGTAGTACTAGCAGAGTGAGTGTGTTTTGGAGTTAAATTTGCAACAACCAGAAAAGTATTTTTAAAAACAATGAAAAATGACATTCTCTGAAAGTATGTCTTGAAGAGCAGTAATTAAACACTGCCTTTACGTTCTCATAATTGACTGATTTATTTTCAAGCATATACAGTCTACCAATACTGTAACTTTAAAACAAATCTGAAGTCCAAGCGTGAATGATGATGGGTTTTTTGTGGCTCTCTGCGACAAAGTATGACTCAAGCTAATGGCCTGCACTGCAGCCAGGATGTAACCCAACAATGACAGTACAACTGCGCAAATGAGAATTATGTTCCTGTGTTGAGTAAAGCCTTGGCTGAGTGAACAAAAAGAACATTTATTTCAAACATCTTGCGTCATCGCAAGTCCAGTCGGTCAAATTAAACATTTTCTACAACACTAGCGACTCCTAACGTCAAACAACAGGCTACCCATATCACTATCTCCATCAATAGAGCTGTCTTCCTCCTCCTTCACCTTGATCCTATTTATCTTGGCAACCGCCCATGACAGCGTCCTGGCATAGAGGCCTCCATCACTAGATTACATCGTGGCCCTCTAACTTCCGATCTGAAAAACGCCTATGGACAAAAACTGATACAACGTATAAGTTGCAAATGCACTCAAAGACAATTCTAAAAAACAAAGAAATATGATTGATTGGAGAGAAGAGAACAACAAAAACAGAGGAAGTGAGAAAGATATAAAAGAGTCTGGAAACAGACTTAAAGAGAAAACACAGCATGCGTGCAAGGAATATTCTGCAAGGTTTTAATGAATCTATGGCCCCATTCCATTAGTGGGCCAATAACCTTAGTAGGGCTATAAATTCCTTTCTGTCCAAATGTAATAAAGTTAAGTGGAGAGGAAGAGGATGAGGAGGAGGAGGGAAAGAGGGAGGGAGGCAGAGTGATGGGAGGAAGGGAGGAGGGCGGTGACTAACCACTGAAGGTGACTTGGAAGAGATGGGAATTTCAAAGAAGACAACACGGCGCCATACAAGACAGACAATGCTTGGCTTGCTGAGCAGGAAGGTACTAAGGACTCGATTTTAAGTTCCCCCTCCATTCTTAACTATGTCTTCCTTCTTGTTCCTACAGTTGGATGTTTGAGCTGTACAGAATGATGTATGTGCAGAGTTTGACACCAGAAGGATGTTTTCACATTCATCTACGCAAAGTGGAAAGTTTCTCTGTGCTCAGCGAAAATCTGATTTTAAAGGGTGGGGATTAAAAGCATGATATGTGACATCACAAATAAGCTTAAAAGTGAACCCTGGTCCAGTACGCAACTTGCATGACGTAGAAACCTGAAGCCACCAGTTTATATACACCGAGAACGAACAGTGGAGGAGGAGGAGACATCTTGTGTCCAGGAGGAAAACTTGAAAAATTAACAAAATTTTCATATTGCAGGATTGTAATGTGGAAATGATCTTTTTTTCTGTGTAAAAAACACATCAATCATACATTATTGTTCCAGGAGGATTATTTATATTTTATTTATTTTGGTTGAACAGAACTGGTTGTGTTCATTTAGGTGATACTACCAGTGTGGGCCGGGGGCTCTAACCCCATGTTGGATCTACGTTTTCTCTGCTCCACAACTAGCAATGTATAGCAAATAGAGGGTGCTCACGGTGCCTATCAGACCACGCAAGCTCTTCATATTTTGTTTGTCCGTGTGTCTCTCGTATTAGGCACAAGCTCAAAGTAGACTCCACCAACAGAATCAATCAAGCGCAGACATTTGGGAGCACCATTTATATTTGAGTTTCTGCATGCACAGCTAAGTTATAATACATGCCCTCATGTCAAACAGATTGATTTATCAAACTGGATAATGATGCCTCTTGTGTCATCAAAGGAAAATCAGAAGACTAATTTTAATGGTACAGTGAAATATGGGCACCAACCAGGCACACGTTGATGTTAAATATTTGTTTTGCCAAGCTAGCAAGATAAAGTGGCAATAAAAAATGGCAATGAGATAAAACTTCATGCAATACAATAACACTATGTACACTATTTATGTACTTTATTTGAATTAAACCATACAAGCATTCATATTGTGTCAACCCCTACATTTATGTTGTCAAGATTTCAATCTGTGCTTGCCCTTACTTTGACCAGTAGTGGTGGGCGAGGCACAGCTGCAAGGCAGGAACAAAAAATAGGATGGCCAGAGGAGGAGGAGGAGGAGGAGGAGGGAGGCGAGTGAGAGGGCAGAACACTTAGACAGGTTGACCGAAGCAGAGTGAGTTGGAGGTTGAAAAATAGAGCAATTCTGCTGGAGAGAAATGAAGGATAACTGGGCAGTCCCAAGTGAATCGATGCAATGGATTTACCTTCGGACTGGATGGAAGGACGGGAAAAAAATGAATGGAGCCCAATAAACACACAGAGCTCAATGAACACGAGAAAATAACTCAAGAGACGAAGACAACACCAGATTAGCCTATGTTAAGTGTCACACTAGAAAGGCGAGAGATGCACAGATGTGTGTTGTTTCTAGAGGAAGCCAACTAAATAACAAGCAATAAAGGTGCATTACATTCAAAGCATTCAGTGTGGCAGCACTACATATATAGATTGTAATACTGGTACTTACTAGTATTTGAGTCCTTTATTCACATACACCATTAATACAGCTTCATACCCATTTGGTCTTTAATTTGCATATCACATTGGTTTTCTCTAAATACTGATCCACAACATCCACAATGGCCTGCTACCATTCCCTGCGCACTGCGTCACAGAAAGTGTTAACCTATAAAGCCTATAAATAACCTGTCCTAATATCCAGTGTCTCTATGAGGAGATTACTGTGTGTGTGTGTGTGTGTGTGTGTGTGTGTGTGTGTGTGAATGTACACCACAAAGATGCCTTTGAGAGTGCCATTACTTTTTCTTATGAGTGTCTTATGATAACTAAACAGCCAACAACAGAAACAAACTGGCAATAACTAAGTAATCATCCATCGATCCATTTTGCTTATCCTAAATGGAGCAGTAGTGGCGTAAGCAAGGTAGGCCAGGTGTCTTTCACCCTAACCACATTCTCTAGCACCTCCTGGGAGATCCTGTAGTGCTCTCAGACCAAGAAGAATATGTAATCCCTCCAGAGTTCTCTGGGTCTGCCCTTTGGTCTCCTGTCTCTAAGGGTGAGACGGGACACTCAAACCAGACAAATTATTTCAGCCCCTGGTGCAATCTCATTCTTTAGTTTACACACTACCCAGAGCTCATTATCATAAGGTGAGGGTTAGAACACGCAGAAGTCTAGTACAATGCCTGAACCACTGCTGATGCTACACCGATCTACCCATCAACTGCATGTCCATCTCAACCTTACTACTGAAATAGGGCTCGTGCTACCAACCCAACAGGGGCTATTCACTATATTGCCTCAAACAGTGCGTGTTGGAGGTCACAGTCCGACAAAGTCAGACAAACCACATCATTTGTAAAAAGCAGAGGGGATTCTTGAGGTCAACAGCCCTTTCATTCTCCACTGAGATTTAAATCACAAACAAAAGTGGTGACTAGGCACAACTTTGGCGAAGCTCATTCACTGAGAAAGATGCTTGACACAAGGGAGGAAAGAACAGATGGAATATGCATACTTGAAATATGAGGCTCTGGATTAAACAAAGTAAAAGTCAAAAGGGTTCAAGTTGCTCATTAGTTAATGATCTGTGTGTGTCCCTACATACCTGTGATGATGAGGCATTCATTGTATTCCAAAGCTTCAGTAAACAGGCGAGAGACAATCAGTTCAGGGTTGATGAGGAACCTGATCTCTTCCTGGACCAGTCCATGTCCTGTTACTCCTCCACCTACAAGCCTGTTTGCAAAGTCCACCTAATGAAAAAAAAATAAATAAATAAACAGAAGAGTTAAATAAAGAGAAGGAGTTATTTCCTCTAACTTCTTCTCCAAACAGCTTTTGTCATTGCTCTCAAACATTCTTGAATTCAAAATGGACTGGGACCCATATGACAAACTCAATTTGTGCAGGGTGTGCAGTGATATATTCAAAACAAAACAATTGATTGATTCAACTATACAAATATATTGCCCTTTGCCCTGCCCATCCAATGCAGTTGAGAAGAACTGGGAGATGTAGCTAGTGTCACTTCCATTATTTGAACAAATGACTCTATTAGTGGCTCCTTATTATCTGTCACCCACTGTGGTCATTTAATGCAGATAAATGTGTAAGGATCACTGCATTGCTTCCTGCTTATAAATAATCAAATCAGGAAAATCGTAGCAATCAATGGTGAGCAGAGCAGTAATTTAAAATCTGCAAATGTGTGCAGACCTTTATTTTTAAATATAGGTTAAGTCTGTTGCCATTCCCTGTGATGGGATCACTGCTGCTTACAGCTATAAATTGGCTGGGCCGATATATTGGAGGTATATTGAGTCAGTGTATATAGTCAGTCAATAATTTACAAGAAACTGCAGAACCAAAATGCCAAAATATGTCTGGGGTCATTTAAAAAACAGTGTTTTTTTTTTTCATAAACCTATTACAGAAACAACTACATCATTATCTGATACAAACCAAAATTATTGATGACATCACAGATGCTTGTGGTTATTTTTTTGGCCTCCTGTTTCACAAAGGAAATATTTGTGATACTGGAGCCTCATGCCATGTAAGCCCAGTCCTTGTTTTTGTGGCATGTATGCGCAGCCACATTCAGTCACAATGCTGCTATTTAAACAGTCTGTCAGGGGTGAAGGTTCTGCTCACTGGCCCACAGCTACGTCAATCTGTGTGACAGTGAGTGTGTTTGTATGTGCATGTGTGTATGTTGTCTAACCAGTCGCTCAACTCCTCACCTCCTTCACTGGTTCACCCCTAACCTCACCCCCCTCACCCTTCAATCTCACCTCCTGACAGAATGACAGCCCACTCTGCCCTATCAAAACTCAACGCACAGCCAGTGCTCGGCCTGTTCTGAGGTACCCATCAATCCTCCTGCAGGACTCCTGGCCCACTGGGTCGTCCCAGTGAGATGGCTCACCCTCGTCATCTTTTCCTCCATGCACCTCCTTCTCCCTCATCCCCACACCCCAGGGTCCTTTCCTCCACCCTTGCCTCTCTGAGCTACTCAAGTGTGTACATCAACTGCCAAGCCAGAGTAAAAAATGCATCAGCATCCTGGAACACTGACCGGAGTGAGAAGACGGGGTGAATCAATGCAGCCAATAACCTTCTCAGATATGAACAAAAAATATACAACTGATTTATATTTTCTGGAGGTAGTGGACAACTATTCAGACAAGCAAATCTCTTTGACTTTAGAGAGCTAAAATGAAGACGTGGTGATGGTCAGAGTCTTCTTCTTCTCACAGTGACAGGTACAAAACTTGTAAGCTACATCAAATTTGAGACTCTGAGCAAACGTGTTTTGACAAAGTTTCTAAAGCCGATTTTACAATAAGGCATAGTTTTTAAATTATTGGGGAGAGCTAGCAGGAAAGCATACTTTTATTACGCCAGGTTCAATAAGTAGTTCTACTTCGCCTGAGATACTAAATTGTTAAGGAATTCCTACCTGCAGCATCCCGTAACCGTCATCCTCAATCGTCCCCTCACAAGTGATATGTAGGCGTGTCAGCTGAGTCTGGGAACTTGACAAAAAAAAAAGCATTCTTTCACCAAAGTGTATTAACACAATATAATACTTTCATAGTTAAAGAGGTGAAGCCACACCATGCTTCAGCAAAGTAAGTGTGTACTAAAGAAAATGTACAGGTTTGGATGTGAGGTGGATTGGTATTCTGAGGGGAACCAAATTACCAGTAAACTAAAAATGAATTAATATATATTTCCTGAAACATTTTGACGCATTACTTTGTAAAGACATCAGCGTGCAATAGCATCAACTTCTCAACAATCTCCTTAGGTATGTTCTGCATCTAAATTTTAGACCATCTGTTTTTCACAACATTGAGTCCCACAACAATCTCACTGGCTAAGACATAATTTTTTTCTATGTTAGGAATGAATGATGACACATAGGAACTCTGATGTGTTGGTGTTGTTTGAGCGGTCAATTCAGATTTGTTCAATCAAGTTGTAGGGACATTTAAATTTGTGTGTCACTGTGTGTGCAAATAATATTTAAAACATAGCAAAATCACATTAAATTCAGGTCATTAAATTCATAACATAGTAGAATAGAGTAGAGTAATACCTTTCCCAGTTTGGAGGATTGTTCAATGATTGTCTTGTAAATGTAACAAGACCCTTGGGCTCTTAAGAAAAGACAAAATATCATAATCAAAAAGTGTTCAACAAACAAGTATGGAGAGCATTATAGAGAAAGAGTTGCTGCAACATCATGTATGATATTTAAATGCTTACTGGTCTGTGTAACTCTCCTGAAGTAACACAGCAAAGTTTTAAATTTCTCAATTTTTCTTGGTGAAGGACCTTCGAATAACCTGAAACAAAAAGAAAATGGGAATTTGAGTTCACAAGAGAGATTCTGTAGGGGATTGATTTTGTTAAACAGTACATGTCAAAGTCTTGAGAGTCTCTGACAAAAAAGAAAAAACATCAATGTGTCACTCCGAGTCATTATCTATAGCTCACTGCACAACCATGCTAAAGCATGCCATGAGTGAGGTCAAGCTTTTAAACTGGCATGATGTCTATCCCATCTATCTCCATCCTTTACACAATGGCACTCCCTGAGGCCATGTTTCAGTTCTTCAGTTACCATAAAAACTAGGGTGGATGGAGGGAGGAGGGAGGAGGGAGGAGGGAGAGAGAGCGTTGGGTGGAAAGCTTAAATCAACCCATACTGGTGCGATAATGGAGCGACCTAAGCTGATGACTAATCAGAGTTCAGCATATATCTTTCCTCTCCCACCGCTCTCTGCCCAGACTAGTAAAGAAATTAAATCAGAGGGGACAAAATAAAATGAAAAATGTATTGTACTAAAGTGAGAAGTGAGAAAAAAAAAACATTTATTAAAAGGCAATTCCTACGTATAATATGCAATTCCCCCCACTATTAACATTACTTACACAGCAGCTTACTCATGCACTGCGAACCTCCCACCCCAGTCCCCTTAGTCAGTGTCACTTTGGTATAATGTACCATGGAGGATGAGATGGCTTAAGTGAAACACTTGGATGAGGGTGAGATTTCCAGTAAAGCCACAAATCATACCTTGCTGAAGACAGAAGAGCAACTAATCATGAAGGATTTAGTCACAAAATATATTGGAGCAATTTTCGTTTTCAAGAGTGGTCACATTAATTATTTGGTTCTCATTTACTATAACCTTACTTACTATATAAAGTGCACCAGGAGATAAGGTTCCTGACAGTTTTCCCATTACCAATTAGGCTGTTTTCTTGCAAATGAGGTTGGCCATCTCATGGTAACTCAGAAACAAAAACAGAGGCTTTATTTCTCAATAATGAGCTTCCACTGTTGACTAAACTGTTAAACAGGTTTTTTATGTCATTTTCTTCTCAAACAGAAGAAAACACAAGCTAAAGAGATAAGTCTGCCTTCTTTCCTCCCCCTCGAATCTATCCATCACTTAACGGAGGACAAACCTTGACAGTTCTGCCAAAACAGCAATCAGCAGATTGCTTGCTGCTCTGCTTGTCCGAGACGGACCGCTACTGTAGACGATAAGCAAAGTGACGGACACTCCCTCAATTACAGGGGGGGAAAGGGAGGGCCAGTAACGATCCAGGGCCCATTTTAGACTGCACTGGTTGTCTTGTCTCATCTTCTCACCAAGACTTTTTTTTCTCTCATGCTCTTTCCTGTATTTTGCTGCCGGCAGAAATGCTGATGGTGAAGGCAGGCCCAAGTGCCTGTGCAACCAAGTGCTGGCACGGGTCTGAAACAGCCAGCCCCTCCAACTGGAATCAATGCTTACATTATTACAGAGGCCTCTTCAATGTGCCTGCCTCTAATGTTTGATGTGGAGGAAGATATCATGCACCACATACAGATGACTGATTGTGAGACTACGATTAAGGTCCAGATAAAATTACGGAGTTGAAGGGTCGGGGGATGGTGTACCACATCACGAATAATCAATTCGACCATCCCGGGGATTCATAAAAATAATACTGATCGACCCCCAAGGGAGCGCAGATGGCTAATTAGACTGTGGATAGCAGTTAGGGCCCATGCAGATTGCAGGGAATATCAAAATTATAGAGTACTAAACCTACCCTTCATGTTCTACAAAGAGTGTAAGCACTATCATAATAAGGTATTACCAAACCGACATCTCCAGTATGTCAGGCAACAACACCGGAAGTTATTACACATATCACTAATGATGAGAAATACAGGGAAATTGAGTTGAGGTGATATCTGGACTATGTCCAGTGTGTATAGAACTGGTAACAAAATCTCAGTATAACTTTGTTACCTAACCCCCCCCTCACCCATACAAAGCATCTCAACTTTCTAACCACTATCAGCTGTGACAAAAATATGTGATGTTAATGTCCAGAATCAGCTATAATAACAAAACACGGCAAATGACAACAAAGAAGTCTTTCTCCAACAGAGAACAAGCTGGAGCTCATTAACAAAGAACGATTCCAGAAAACTGTGATAACACACAACCTAACGCAATACTGCTACACCTTCCACTGCCATCTGCACACGTTACACCAGTAGAGCAGAGGTTGCGTACTTTAGATAGAAGAGTGTAACAGCCATCACTCTTACAAGTATGCGCCTGACTGCATTCATGCATCATTTACCTCCATTCCAAATAACGTGACACCTCAAGATTATGAGAAGCCTAGAGACAGATAGACAGGTGTGCACTTTAAAACAGTCTATCAAAACAATTTGTTTCAATTAGCCATCCCAGGCTTTCTTAACAGACCACTGGTTCTGAGTAGGCAGAAACAGAGAACACCAATTTAACACTCCTACTCAGAATCTCTCTCCCACACAAAAAAAAGACATAACAGAAAAATGGTGCTCAAGGAGATTCTCTGCCCACAGTCCCACCCTCAAGTCTATAAAGTGACAGGGGCAGTTACAGCACGCAATGTAATCTTACAGTTATCAAATAAGAAATATGACATGTGACAAAAAACAAATGAGATACCACAAGCTGTAACTCTGTTTAGCAGCCATATCTGATCAGTTTATTTTGTTATGCTAAAAAGAAACTTCAGTGTTATTGTGTGTAAATTTACTGGACACTAACTAAATGAGTAAAAGCTGAGTAAAAGCAGTGAATTCCTGTATATGGGGTTTTCAAGGCAGTAGTGCCCCCTTATGGAAATCAGTTTACTTTCCTCTGAGTTGTAGGATCACCAAAAACAGAGCTACTCAATCACAATTCTACCAGTTTGCAAGAGATAGTTGTAATGAATCATTAATATAATACACATCTTTGAATGGGTTTGACCCCGTTATCACACCAATAAAACCTGGGCAATACAGGACGTACCACAATCTTTTAAGACTAGAAAAAAAGTCCAATGATACCAGTGAGTCTAATTGTGCTCTTATCCAAAAGCATAGTAAGCTTACAGACCAATGAGGCTGACTCAGGATCAATATCTGCCTCTAAGATCTATTCAGTCTCCTGCTTAAAGTAATGGCTTACAAAGGGACTCAGCGAAAGACTCATGAGGTAAATCTCATTTTGTGAATAACAAACTAGCAACTGCAGCTCACTCAATTGCCGAAGTGAGCAACTGATCATTGTTTTTTGTCTCTCCAGTTTTCAGCAATATGTGTGTGTGTGTGTGTGTGTGTGTGTTTGTGTTTGTGTTTGTGTTTGTGTTTGTGCCTTTACCTGTAGAAGTTGATCTCAGGATAATTGCAGTACTCTGACTTGCGGGAGTTGCGTCGGGGGAATGTGCAGAAGAAGGCATTGGCCAGAAGACAGGCTATTTGCTCCTGAGACAGAGTCAGGGAGTGATTCATCCTTGACTTCAGTAGGGGAATTGGCTACAAAGAGAAAGGGAGAGAGAAAAGCGACTTAAATCAGGGTCAAAACTGAATCAAAGCAGAGAAACAAAAATGGAGGGACTGGAGATATGAATGGGAAATGTAGAGAGATGCAGAAGAAACACACAAGGTTACATAGGTGCAGTACTGTAGGTCTGAGGACAAATGGGGGCAGATAATTAGCTTAGCAATCTAGCAAGCAGAAGAGACAAGAAGAGTTCAATTAGGTTAATGGGTGGTAGTAATTAAGGTCCTGGTTTTCTTGCTCTCCCCCAGGTTCGTTCTGTCAGACACATGCGGCCCATCTATCTTCACTGATTAGGGCTAAAGAGCCACCCAAGGCTGCCTAGTTAGCAGATCAATACCAGCTCTAATAACACACATAAACATTAGCCTTGGCGCTTAATACAGCAAAACAAAGCAGAGAGTCAGAAAGCTTCATTATCCAACTGCTAGAAAATGATTTTGAGGTGAAATCTATACCAGAAGTTCCCTTCTTTAGTTAAACCTGAGCATCCTCAACGTTTTGCCCCTGGTTTCTGTCTGCAGTAACAAGTAAAAGGATTTTCCCATCCTGCCCAGACTGGGAGCTAAATTAACTTTATTAAATCAATCTCAGGACTCCGATATAGATAACTGAATTACAAAAATACCAATCTTGGAATTCTTGCATTGCTATAATTGATGACAGAGCATGAACATTAAGACAAATGGGGATGACATTTAAAATATCTGTCACATGGTTCAGCGCCATTTACTGTGAATAAAAGCAAGGGCCTCTGAGATTTGACAGGGGTGATATCAAACCCTGTTTCTTGAAATATACTGCTCACAGTAGGAACGGCTGGTGTGGAAGTCCAAAGGAACAGACTGAATTTTAAATTTCATAAGCATAACACATCAGATGGATGACTGGACATGAGACTGACCTCTCCTCTCTCAGCCGTCTTTTCTAATGAAGCAGTTCTTGATGTGGACCAAAAAGGGGCATTCATTATCTAGCAGTTGTAACTCATGAGCTGATCTTGTATAACCCTCTGCCTTACCTCCCCTGCTGACTACACACTCTCTTACATCATCCTTCCTCCTATAGACCTTTACACTGCTGACCTTTTGGCTTTTTAAACCCACAACCCACTGCATCGCAACAGCTCACCTTTAAATTTCCTCACGCAAATCCCTTAAACCCCTTTGAACATACATTGACTTACCATTGTGCAGAGGCGAGGAGCACTGAGTGCTAGGTCAACCATAGCTGGTAGTATAACCTCAAACAGATGTTGTGCCTCACAATGCTCAAGACACTGGAGAGAGGATAGGAGAAAAAAAAGGAGACACACAGGCAGAAGTATTGTTAAATGGGATCTCTCTGTTGAGCTGACTGCCTAGTTAGGCAGGCAGTTACTCAGAGCCAGCAGTCAGAGTGACGGATTAGATCTGAAGTGACATATTACTTTGTAACACCACCGATTTTTCGTAGAAGATAAATCCAACAAGATCATTAAAGGGATAGTTTGGGTTTTTTATAGCAAGGTTGTATAAGGTGCTTATCCAGTCAGTGCATTTACCTACAGAATGGTGGTTGGCAAGCAGAAAGGAGTACCAGGGCGGAAGCTAAGCAATGCACTGCTGTGGACGGGGGCAGCAACAAAACTTATTTTAGTCACCTAAAAATTTAGTATACGCTATCATTCAAATATTTTCGCCACTTTACCTTGACAGCCCTTTCCGAAAGGTAACTGACCAGATTTTGAGGGTTTGTTTTTTTATTCTGTTTTTTGGAGAGAAGAGTAAATTTAAACAGTTTAGATCTCACTCTTTGATTGGCAGTCCCCGCTTTTCCATTTAAGTAAAGATATAGATAACCGAAGTGAGAACAAAAAGTAATAATAACAAAAACATCAACGAGAAATATCAGAAAATAGGTAATACATTTTTGTTTTACTTTCTCATATTTTCCATTAAAACTCTATTATTCTTAGACAGATTGGTTCAGTGATACCATTTTTTTCATAATAAGTAAGAACATCAATGAAGAACTTTGTTTCGAATGGAAATACATGTGAAAGATCAACATGAAATTCTCTTTTCAATAACTCAAACAATTAATTTTAGGGTTTAGTACTATCTTGTTAAGACAAAGAAAAAGAATGACCCTGAAAAATACGAGAAGCAGCCAACTACTTGATGAAACGTTTAAATTGTCTAATAACTGATAGTGACTCTGAGGTTATAGCCCAACTCCAACAACCAATATCTAAGGAAAGATCCTCAGTTCTTTCATATCTAACAAGTAAGCTCTGTGTCAGTAAAGGTAATGTTTATTGTTGTTTTGCGGTGAACTCCCACTCCTCAGATATCGATAATCCCAACACTCCAGCAGCGAAAGGAGAAATAGAAATGCTGCAGAGCTACTCACTACACAGAACCTGTTTCAGAGGAAAACTACCATCAATCTGGAAGTGAGCCTGCCACGGCCGAGGCATCCATACTTCAGCCTGTAGCTTACCTCAGCATCCATCTGCAATTCCCTCTAAAATAAACACCCAGTTATTCCATCATAGACCCAGATTTACAACGCAATCACTTATGAGTGTATTGGCTTCGAATGTCACTGTCATCAATCACTTGCCTTATTCTATCAAGGTGAGCAGGGGAGCTCGAGCTGATTAAATGGAGCTTCTGGAGCAAATGCAAATGACCAATTGTGGAGAGAGTGGCAGGGTGGCTTGATTTTCAACAGGAAGTCTTTGGTGGGTGATTTGGCCAGGGGGGCATTTATATGGCTGCAGAGCAGGTCTGACTAAATGCTGTCAGAAGTAATGAGCTGGCAGACATCATAAAGCGCTCCTGTGGGACTAATAGATGGTAGCTGGTGATGCGGTAGGATGAGGGTAGAAAGATGATCCCGCAGCCCTTCCACAGCTACAGCAGCCGGCCGCAACGGTAACACACACAGGTTAGGCTCTGCACACAAACTATACCTTTCACATCGATACATATGACAAACTGTGCTCCAGCAGGACAACCCGGATTTACTGCAGCATAGGCTAATGATCGATTACACTCTGATCTTCCATCCATTCTGGTCTTTAAGTTATTTTTATTTCCTGGCAGCTGAAGCTACGCAAGTCTCTGTTTCACATTTTTATTTAGAGGTTTTCCAAGAATGTTTTTTATTGCATTTTGTGTCACTCACGTTTCTATTTTTTTTTTTTTTAAATCATTGTGTGAAAGAGATCAAAACAAAATAAGCAACAAAACACAAAAGTGAAAGTGACAGTGTTGGGTTGTTGCCAGTTGTTGGTGGAATATGTATTTCCATTTCATGGAACTTTATACTTCTACTCCACTGCAGCTCATCATTATGTTTTCTTTTTACATATTTGAAATAAGTATAATATATAAACAAACATCTTAGAGGCCACACATTTGTCTAACAGCTTTAATTAGTAGCTATTTTTTCAAATTACAATTTTTCAAACCTTCCTGTCCAGTGAAAACAATGTAACTACAAATTTGGTGATTCCTTTATGGGTTGAGAACATTCGCCTGCTTCTTAAGTTGAAAAAACTATTTAAAACCTTTAACTTTTGATATTTTAAATACATTTTGCTAACAATACTTTTTTACCTAAGTAAGGTTTGGAATGCAGTACTTTTACTTGTAATTGAGTATTTTTCCAGTGCTGCATTGCTACTTTTACTTAAGTAAAGGATTTGAATCCTGAAGCTGTACTTTCTCCTGGACTGCTTTCCTGCTCAGCGCTCAGACATTCATCAGAAAGTGACACAGTGACAGTTTCATTTGGCAGGGCAGAAACTCTAAGACAATTTACAGACAAGTCCTAATTTGGATAACTGTTTTTTTCCCCTCCTATAGCTATTACACGTTGAGCGGGGTGTCAATCACTGGCCCAGGGGCAATGTACCTCTTGACAATTACCCCAGTGCAGCACAAATATTGCTGCAGATTTAATTAGGTGGCCTTGGCTGAGGGGTACAACAGTTAGGATTCAAAAGAGGAGTAACATTTAAAAAAAAAAAAAAAAAATATGAGGGAAATTTATTCTCTCAATTACTAATTGGGTTGGGTTGCCTAAGAAGAATAGCTAAACAATTCTATGTGATTCTTCACTACGTTAGTCTGTGTGTGATAGATAAATCTCGTCAGATGGTGCATGTCTGCTGTGGAATGGCAGCTGTTAATCATTCCTGCTCACTGTGTTGGCATGATGCTCTGAGCGCTCCCTCATCCTGCATCCATCAACTGATAGAAATGTAACTGACAGAAAGCAGTCACAACCAGTAGGTATTTTGTATCCGTACACATGTATCTATTCACTTTTGTCAATTACTACACATATCATAAAAGTTTAAATTAAAACCTTGATGTCCTTCTCCTCGAGCACCAGCAAAATGCCGTGCTCAGGACAGTGAGTGGAGCTGCTGACGCAATAGACTCCTGGAAGGGCGAGTTTCTTGCTGGCTTTACGAAGACTTCTTACAGATTTAATGGGACCTTTTAATTAAATTGGAGTTAGCTATAAAAAGGTACAGGCGGCTATTTATCTACCGAGCTCTCTGCTTTACTCTGCGAAATTATTTGAGAGAGTGGGGGAGGAAAAAAAAGACCATTTTGGAACGCTCTGAATTTAGCTGAGTAATCAGTGATGAGAAAGGACTGTAACAAGTATCAAATGTTCCTACTTAATTGTAAAAGCTCCATTAGAATAATGATATTGTTCCTAATGGCACAGACTAAGACATGAACTCACTTAGAAATAATCTGACAATTAACTACATACTTTACTAAATGTAGGTAACCAAATTAGGCTTCTAGCTGTGTATGTATATGTAGACTTGCTTTGAACTGAATACACTTCCAGAAGACAAGCAGTACTACCAATACTGTATCTATAATATTTCTGCAAGAAATTCTGCAAAAAACAACTGATGTGTCCATTTCTAAAGTAGTTTTAATAAGTAATCTCATAACAATGAAAGACAGGTAAATATTAATCCCACATGGGAAGAAGTTTGTGTAACAACAGGTATGTAATTACAGTCCATAACTGTCTGAACAGAGAATCAGAAGTGTTAAAAGAAAGAATGAGGGGGACAGAAAAAAAGAAAGACATTCCCCTGGTTCACCTGCAACATCTGCTGCCGCCATGCTATGTGCTCATCTGTCCTAACTGTATGATGCCTATTTGCTCCTGTGAGACTCCCAGGTACTGGGAGGGGAAGATGCGCACTGATGGGCTTGCAGCCAAACAGAAAAAAGCAGGCTCCCTTTGCGATAACAACTCTAGTTCAGTGTCGGCTTCATTCTTCAATTAAGGTAAATTTTAAAGACATAATTAATCAAGGTGCGTTAAACAAAACTGCCACGTCTACATGGTAAAGTTCACAGGGGCTGACTGTCAGAGCTGTGATACACACTACTGGCTGCATTTAACTTATGACATGTTTATTTATAAGTCAATACTCTTAAATTATCAAATATAAAAGCCTGTTATATAGCAATTTCATTCATTGGAATAAAAATGTAAGTATTGTGTTTGTTTAAAGAGGTTTCCCACCCAACAAATAGTATTCAAGTTTCATGCTCATCATGTTCAGCAAAGAAGCGTACCTAAGACGTGTTTTGGCAATACGGTATGGTCAGGGGGTTTAATGGAAACCATTTTAATCTCCCTGCTTTATCTTTTGAACAATACCAGTCTATAAAAATCAAGTCATGTGCAAGTCATGTTTTGGCCAGCTTACCTCTGTGCAAAGAAGGTTCAGGGCAGTGAAGTCCCATTTCTTTGCATGGGCTATGTTGTATCTCAATATTGCATCCTAAAAAAGAAGAATTAAGAGTTATTTATTTATAGAAGACTATTCTTAAATAGATACATTGCAGCAGATTAACAGTATAATATTTGGATCACAGATTCTTCTTTCAATACTATATTTGTTGCAAACTCTGCCACCATGTGGTTGTTTGTGGAATAAGTTTTGTTTATTAGAAACAGTTCAGTTGGAATCATGTACAAGCAGAAATTCTCCACTATCAAAGGCATACTGACCAAATCTTTCAAATTGTATTACAATGCACATATTTGAAAGCTAAATTTGAAGGCATCCTGACAGGCATTCTTGTCCTCACTGTCTAACCTTTGATCCACACTACTCTGACTTTTTTCACACCCGAAAAGAATCTCTTCAAAAGGTTCAGGTTTTGGTGTTTTAGTGTGGATGGGTGCAAGTAATTTCACATGTAAAAAGCTGTTTATAGGTCTTAGTGAGGGCTGTATTCAGCCTTATTCAGTCCAGCCCTGAACAGAATTCTTACCCTCACATCCAGAGAACTTTTGAACCCTCCCTGCAAGGCAGTGTGGATCAGTTCCCAACGACTTTGGACACCACCTCCATCCTGCATGAAAAAACAAATCACATATTGCTTTTGTTACAATACCTAGCAACAGTAACTAATGTTACTGTGGTACATTGGGATTTTTTAAAAAGCATGCAAAGCTGTGAAGTACTAGTATACCTCAGTCTCCATAGGAAACAGATTCTTCTCAGAGCAGGGCATTTTCACAGACACATCATCCCAAGCATCTTTGAACTTGGAGGGGTATGGAACAGGGACTTCTCCCTCTCTGAGGAGATCGGTCTGTAACAAGGAAACAAAATGGCAGGGAAAAGGAAATGTCTTTAGATGTTATTGTTGTGTATAAAGAAGTGATGACTGCAATAATTGCTTTCTCTTTGCATATCAAAAAGATGCAATAGTTGGCATGGCATGGTAGAATATGTGAAATTAAGAAGCCAGTCACTTTGGTTGCATTCATTACTTCTAAACAAAGTTAATTAAGAGATTGCTATATAAGTCTAATGCCTTGTCTTAAAACTTATAATAATTGTATATCGTATAATTGGCCTACAAGCTTGACACTTGTTTTACCAAAAGTCATATGTTCCTCTGCTGGCTGACTAAACATCTCAAAGCTGTTCTGCTTTTAATGCACGGTTGTGATTTTCTTAAAACAGTAATTAAAACACCAGTATTCTTGTGATTTAGGGGGTGAGAATCTAGCTGGGGTGGCAGTGCCGACAGTGTTCCTGTGGGACTCGTAGTGGAGGACACAGTCTGATAGGAGCTTTACTGACAAGAGGCCCTGAGGGGATCATGGAGGATGACTTCACACTGCCCAGAAGTGTCTCCCTTTTCCTCTTACCCACTGTATCCATCTAAACAGCCTTCTCTACATTCTCTCACCCACTTTTTCCTATCTTGTTCTCTCTTATTAAAACACAAAGTGTAGACCCATCACGCAATGCCCAGTCACATCTGCATGCACATTCTTTTTATGTTTGCAGTATTCTTTACAACATAAAAAAAAAAACCACATACAGAACACATGGCTCTTGACTCACCCTGACTGTGACAGTATGGTTAGGCACTACTTTCAGATGAGACAAAGGGGGGGCACACTGAGGCATTCTGTTGAGCTCATCTATGGGTGTCCCCAGCCATCCTCTGTCCATGTTATGCAATGCTAATGAAACACTGTACAGAACAAAAACACAACAAGTTAGTTTACCACACTATTACTGAAGGACACTGTGAGCATAGTGGAGCTAGGACACAATAGGAAAGGAAAGGTGATTCACTAAGCTTAAAAGTGGTGTTCATACAGCTTTTTAAGAGTAAAATTCAAGCACTTCCAAGGTATCAAAACCACAAACTTCCAGACCCCTGAAGCCTAATACTCTAAAAATCTAAACTGTTACTGTACTGTGTAAAACTAAATGCATTTGCCAAACTTTAACAGAATTCCTTCATACCCACAGCCATCAATATATATTATCACTTTATTTATATATGCATTATATTTTATTACCAGCTGTTCATATTAACTTTGACTGGAAGTGTTGAGGGTCATTTCAAAATATATATAATTAAAAGATTTTTAGATTACATGAGCGATTGTGTAGATGACACACCAGATTATGTTTTTTTCAAACAGTATATTTGAATTAAAACATATTCCTAATCTTGAAAACATAACAACTTTTAAGACTTCACACAAAACCTGTAAAACAAAACCTGGTACAGAGAAGGGATAATGTTCACAAGTACCTTTCCAAAGATGAACCTGACTGGCTTCCAATTAACTCCTGGCTCATATCAGACGAGCCACTGCATTCTGCTTTCTCAGCATCCTCAGTTCCCGTGGCAACCAGATTGACTTCGTCTTTGGCCGAACATGTGGAATCAGAGTCTTTGACAACTTGCTGAGATTCCATTACCTGAGCCTCTGCAAAGCCAGAGTCCTCTGCACAAGCACCGCCATCATGATCCTTGTCTGCAGAGTTGTTGATGGGCATGGTTTTAGGGATGGGGCTGTCTGGACTCAGCATCTCCACATCACTCGGCGTACTTACACCCTTCCCGGGACTAATGCTAAGACAGAGGTTGAGTTTTGGATTTGGAGAGTGTGCAGCAACACACGTTGTTTTAACAGGGGGAGGACCAGGTGAACTGGGCCTCTTCTGCCCATTAGAACAATTTGTTTGAGCTGTGTCACTCCTGCTGTCTGCAAGGGAAGTTTCATCCGGCCCAGCTGCAGACTCACAGTCCTTCAACTTCTGAGATGGTGTGTCATCTTCTGCGTTCTCCGTTAGCACACAGTCTTTTGTGATGTCGTGCTTTTCTGCTTCACATAAGAGTTCATCTTTTCCATCTGCTAACTTTGTTTTTGGAGCATCGTTCTTTACATCCTCTGGCTTGACTTCAGCAGTCACACTGCAGTAGGACAGAGAGAGAACAAGGTGAGAAAAAGCTTTGTTAGCAGACTGAATCTACAAAGTGTAGCCTTATGATCATAATGAGGCTTTTTCCCTTTTCCCAGAGTGCACTTTTCACCCTAGTAATATTCTTTGAACAAATTGTGCAAGACACGACAAGTATGTGTCCAACGTTTAACAAAAGGCTTGAGCACACAAAGTAATTTTGCCATCTTGACTTCTTTACCTTTCTTGAGAATCCATCACTTCATCCATCTTTAACAGGTCAGGCAAGATGAATGAAAACAAGCTGTTTGAGAAAAGAAAAACATTCATATGTTGAAATGCTGCGACAATTCTGATTATTTAGTTTACGCCTATAAAGTTGTGCTCATTTTCAGGTGTGACTGGACTTCACAACGAGCCAAATACAAAGCCTTGTGTACGTCTAGACTTGGACGGAAGTTACACCTCTAAACTTAGAGGGGGTATTTTTGTTTCTTATGTCGGTCCACTTTCTCAGGTCATGAGGCTTGGACAGCTCAGCTCAGGGTGGTTGCAGTCTCAGCTTTCAATTCAGCTTCTTGCCAAAGCTGTAACTTTCAGTTTCTGATCAGTTTGTACAGACAACGTCGGCGGCCAGCACACAGTCAGGAACAGCTGCAGACCCACAAAGCTAACAGTACAACGAGCTAGCTGACCATGACCAATACTTTTAACGTTTACGTCCACGGCGTCACTACTGACTCGGTTAATAGTGGCACAGTATGTTCTTCCGAGGACTTTGGTTGGTAGGTTATTACCTTGATGAGAACACATCCTGCGGGACAAAAACACAAGTCATCTTTAGCTAACTTTAGCTTTGAAACGTTGACTGTTAGCTAGTATTCGCTAGCTCCGATTCTTGTAGAGAGTAACTAACGTAACTCAACCGGACCGAGCTCACACTGCTGTCCGCTTAAAAACAAAGAGATGTAACTTACACGCATGTCCCCTCTTTGTGTAAGACTTCTGAGTTAGATGCATTACATAATTATTTATTTATTTTTCACACACACACACACATACAACCAATTCTCCCGTGACCACACATCTCTCCAAATGTGATCATTGGTTTACTTTCACTTCTCTGTTGTAGAGAGCTGGAACATCGCAACCAATCAAAACCGTTTTCTTACGGGAAGAGGCGGGATTATGAGTTGGTATCCTAGCAACCGGGTCCAAAAGGAGTTTACTGTCGTGCAACCATTAAAGGGACAGGACCAGAGTAGTTTATAGTTCCTACACTTTAACCCACTTTAGTTTTTTTTAGCTTAAATTACTATTTACTTAGTTAAATTATTATTTACTGTTTTCTCCTGTTATTGAGTTGTATTGGAATCAACCAATGATTTTATGCCCTGCCTGCTTGAATTTTTGTATAAAGATGTAAAGGAAAAAATGATTATCATTCAGTATATAACCTTTGTGTTACACCACTCTGTAGAAGGCTGTTTCTGCTGCACTGCAAATTAACTTGCTGTCTTAATACAAGGACAAACCACATTTGTTTCATGTAATACATGACAGGCTTAAAGATAGCCCAACCTACACATGTCTGATAAACTGTACATGAACTAATGAACATAATAACCACCTGCATACAAGGACAGACACATTTATAGCCTGGCTTGAACATCTAAACTTTTTTCTTTCTTTTGGTCTGAGAAGGGAGTGGGCCCTCACTTGAGAATGCCTCCCTTATTTGCCCTGACATCTATCTCTTTATGAACATCACAACTCTTTGTTCTTATGCATATAAAAACCCTGGTATTAATGCATTCTTCATCGACTCATCGGGAGACACTGACTGTTACTTGTTGATGTCGATCCTTCTGCGCAGAAGCTTGAATAAATATACAAAGACAAATTTCTCTTTGTTTGGTTTTTCCTTTATTCGGTCAAACTTCCACCACAAAAGACAATTTAAAGAAAAAGTCTTAATAGGTCTTGTTAACAACCGTGTTGATGTGGCACTTTACATGATAACAACCTAAAATGGACAGAAGGAATACTTTTACATTAATAACTTGTATGTTGGTAAAAAGACTGAATTTTTAATGCTCCTATAGATATCAGTGTTTGCCCAAATGCTTGCAAAATATAATAAAATAAGACACACGGACAATTTGATTATAACAAGGTTTATTAAAATATATATAATTTATTTTTGATTTTGTTTTTATTTCAACATAAGAAAGATAATTTGCTACACAATTAACATAATACTGAGAGTGCAAAAAACTTAAACAGGCAGGTTTGATTATTTGAGAAGGAGAAGGCAGAATATCAATCTGCTATGGCATCAGCAGAGAAAGTTATTGCATATTTCTGAGGGTAACAGTGAAGAGGACTGTAGATTCTGCAGCAGGAAGGCAGACAGGTTCTCTGCTTTGCTCCTTAGGAGAATGGCTTCACAATCTTCATTGAGATGTAGTTCTGTGGATATGGAATATGGAATTCACTCTTACAAAATATTACAAATTACAAAATACTGTGAAAAAACCATATGTGTCATGGTTTCATAAATGTTTAAATCAATAAATCATCAGCAATCTTACCGGTAGGGAGTAGAACAGGATCCCAAGGAACAAGATAACCAGCAGAAGGATAATCGATAAAATGAATATCCATTTGAATCTGCGCCAAACTATGAACTTCATGGTCTTGCAAGGGTTTGTAAACCAGAAGAATGACGTGTCCGGGCGGCTGTTGAGTGGATAAAGACCGCAAACATTCACATAATGTACATTCACATTAAGCAATTCATAGAACTACAAAATCATATTGTTTTAAGGACTCAGATTTCTCACTTGGGTGCGTCCAGTTTGGGATTCATGTTTGGCTCATCTCTTCCTTTCCCAGCAGGTCTCTCTTCCATCTCCTTCTCCTCCACTATTTCCAGTGTCATCTCTACTTTCCCCTGTGAAATTTTGAAACGCAGTTTTAAACAGCAACCAGGAAGCAAAACAAAAAAACATAACAAGGTATTATGCTGTGGACATATAAACATACACCAAGCACTTGTTTCCCATCCTGCTCAGTCGCACATGGCCACCAGCCTCGTACAGACTTCTGGGAGAAGAGTGAGTTGGGCAGTGGTTTTTTGGAGGAAGCTGAGCCCGCCATCCCTGGCAACATCTTTAGGCTGCACTTTTCTGGGCTCTTGGCAGGAGGGATCAGACTGAGTAGGTCCAGCTCAACTGAACCTGTAATAGTAATATAGAAAACAATGATTTGTCTTTTATTATATAGTTCTCTGTAACAGATTTCCAAGGCTTTCCCTTTGTTTGTCATGGAATAAAATGGGGTTTTTTATAACAATGCTGTTTTTACCTAAGTAGTCATCCAGGGAGAATTTGTCATTGTCCCATATCTGGATGATCAATTTAGGAGGGATCCTAAATTCAGTTTTGTCCAGATTCCAAAAATGTTCCTGCGAAAAGTTAGAAACTTTATTTAGCTCATTACCTACCATTATACCATCACAAAAATAATAAGGTTATGAACAACAATCACTTGGTGCTTTGTTCCTCCTCCATGATCTCACTCACTTTCCTCGAGACAACACACAGCTGTTCTGCAGGCAGGTAGTCAAATCCAAAGATGAACCTCCAGTTGAAATTTCCATCACCATCCAGAGATCTGTAGTGGACATCAGTCTTCTGCTTGTGCTCTTCCATACCTGGCATCCATCTAGGAAACATGGTAATGTTGAATTCAGATGCGCTAATTGTCAATGAGTTCAATGGGTAGGAAAATGGTAAAACATGTGTAAGAACAAATGAAGGGTAAGAGTCAGGACAAATAAAGTACCCTTTAACATAGATGTCACTCATGTTCTCTCCAGTGATGCTTGTTTCATCCAGAGTGACATCAGTTGTGTTCCAAATGATGGCTCGCAAGAAGTACCTGTTTTAAATATATGTTACATTATGTTATATTAAGTTTTATGTTGAAAAACGGCCATGCTAAAATACTATATTGGTATATATATTTAAAATATTTTATTTTGTCAAGTGTTTCTTACTTCTTCGCTTTGCGTGGAGTGATATCACATGGAGGCCCTGGTAAACCAAGGGTCTTGGGGAAAATGTCTACCCACATTTGAATTTGTCCCTGCATGTGTGGAAAAAACAAAGCTATCATACAAAAACACCAAGATGTAAAATTTTCAAAACATTACGTTCATATTGTATCTCTACTAGTTAAAAGGATTGCAGTGCTACTGCTGTTGTTTTAACCTGGGACAGGTTGGGTTGGTGGGAGCTGCGCAAGGTTCTGGTCTCGACATGCTCTGGTACCAAGCCCAGGTCTCTGAGGACATGCAGGGCCAGCCTCTCTCTGGCTGGGCCCATGTGCGGGTGGATCACAGTGTTTGCCTCTGCGAAGGACACGGCAGACCACAAAAGTCAAGGATAAAAGGATATTATACTGCAGTACAAGATGTAATTCTACAAGGCTTATAAAATCATTGAGATAGTGGATATAAGTAATTATATTATTAAAAATATGATAAGAGTTTGAGAATGGCATTACCAAAATCTTGCAGGTTGTATTGTCTTCCCGAGAAGGATAGCGAGCTGCCATCTCCCTCTATGCGTGGAGGTGGGACGCCTCTCACTTTTGCCACGTTCTGGAGGATCTGAGACGGCTTTAGTTGGTCTCTCCACTTATTGATCCCTGAACTGCAAGAAAATTGTAGCTTTAGAATCTAAAACACATCATAGAAGAATTGTTTGTAGGATGTGTCAATTGTACTGTAGATGTGGTATTCGCATCGCTAATAAATACACAGAGAGAGTGGATACTTACACACAGTAAGTCTGCGGCAGGCCACAGCAGGGCCTGAAGTAAGACAGGAGCCTGTTCTCCAAATCAATGACTGTCTCACCCACTTTTTCATCCCTGCTCAGTAAATCATAGTCATACACAGCAATCTTCAGGTCCTTGTCTTGAGGCATTAAGCAGGACAGCTCAAAAGTCCTGGATAAAAAGGGAGAACATTATGTAATGTATTTGTTGCTTCTTTCTGGCCCTTTACAAACTTAAAACTGGTCTTGAACAATGACCTGGACACATCTCTGTCTCACCTCCCAAACTCTGGATTTAGGGTGTTCGGTTTGTAGTTATCTCTGTCATCCAGGGTTTTCCTCCCCAGTGCAATCTTAATGTATGGATCACACTGCAATGAGAATGCAAAACAATGATTTAAGCTTCAGTAGCTTCAATCCTATTTTTCACTTACTAAAAATCTAAATTATGGATGTTATTGAAATCTTTAACACAAAACCAGAGTGGGTGTTCAGTTCTATCTTCATACAAAACTCACCATGCCATTTGTGTCCTTGGGCTGCAGGTCAATACAGCGCACCACATAAATCCTGACCAGACACTCCTGAGATCCGCTATCAGGAAGCTCTCTGAACTGGCGGGGTGGAGCTGGCACCCCTGGGTCATCAGACAGTGGGTAAATCTTGAATGAGCCCTGAATATCACCAAAGAGTACAGCACCCATTAGTTATATAACATCTACAAGCTAGTGTATTCAAACAGAACCTTAAAATCATATTCCTACCAAGCTAACAATGGATTTTAGAATCAGAGATGATAAATTAAATCTCTGTGGTTTTTATTCTGCCTGTAAAATAAATTGCTAAAATAAAGCTGATCAGCTGTTCAATGAATGAAACTGGATAATTAAATTCCAGAGATAAAATGTTATTCCAGTCATATCCACATTAAAGTACAACTTTATTATCCATTCAAAATGGAAAGTCTTTAAGTTACCATGATACAATTCAAAACTATACTTTAGTCCTATTCCTCAGAATATGTAGGTAACTCAGCTTGGTGTAGGCTTTTAAAACATTTCTGCTGCCATTAATTAACTGTGCTTTTGGATTTCAGCTCCAAAAGTACCATACTGTAGCAAACGATCCCTTCAGACATACCAATCTGTCGGCTGTGTATTTAATTCAGTGCATACACTATGTCTATGCGACTGCAACAACAACATCGTTTTTATGCCCCTTCCCTAAATCAATTTTGTAAGGGCTACTTTTGTAGCTGGCCAATTAATCCATTGACTTTACTAAAA